TTGTACTATTATCATTGTATTGCATTGTACATTGCATGATTGGTCAGAAATTCCCTTTCTTCTAAAATTAGTACTGCCAAGTTAATTTTAATGATGTCTCTTTTTTTTTACAACTCCATTATTTTGTGATATGTTTTACATGATGGAAAATACGAATGTTACTAGCTTTTCCTTTTCAGCGAACAAAGTGGGAGCAGGTAACAGACCTCAAACGGTGTAGGATTTCAAAGAGAATGTAAATGAATTCAAAGGAAATGGGAGCGAGAGCACGTGTATTTGTAACACATGCCTTAAAAAAAAAAAAAAAAAAAAAAAAAAAAAAAAAAAAAAGTCATTTTTAATGGTGTTTATGCCCTCTAGTGGTAGAAAACGTTATTACAGCTATATTTGCAGAATACTGGGTTTTTTTTTTTTTTTTCCCTCCTTAAATGTATGTTTCAGTATCAGCTTATAAACTGTGTTATCTTTATGGAAGTGCTGGATTTATTCCTACTATGCATGTTCTATAAATAGCAATTTTTGCTTTGGGGTCCTTTTTAGTGCTTTTAGTCCTTTTTAGTCATTTTTGAAGTAATATGCATATTCTGATCTCAGCACATGCACACACGGTGCATATACACACACATGCTGCTAAGTAAAAACATCTGTGAGTCATTGTTTTACTCTCAATAATATACTTGCTTCACATTGGAAAAATATAATTTTCTGATCAAAGAAACAAATAAAATTGAAATGAGCAGCACTGTCCCTCACATTCATTTAGAATATTAGAGACCTTCTATGTTCACATGAAGGAAAAATGATCAAAAAAACCTGACTTGTTTCAATTAAAATTCATACCACTAATATCTGAGGTCTTCCACTTCAGATTCATCCAAAAAAAATCTTCATTATGTTTAGGAATAATTAAAAACCAGTGATGTCTCAGATACGATCTCTCTTGTCTGAGATTTCTTGAATTATGGGTATGTGGCACTAGATATATTCCATTCATTAGTTAGAAGAGTAGGTGGGTATCAATGGATAATTTTTGATGACCTCATAGGCCACAGAATATCCATTTGTAAACAAATATATTCATGTTTCCAAGGTCCTGTAACAGCCTAGTCTTTTGTGTGCTTTGCAAGCTGCCTTTCCTCCAAATCTGTCATGCAAAGCTATAAAAAGTCCTGCCCATGTTCCTCAGACCAGTGTTCTGAAAGATCCAGTATTCTTTCCTATCTTCCCCTGGAGTGAGAAGTCAAATATGCCCCCTTTGAATGCAAACAACAAGTACACTTGTGATTAAATCCCTCCTGTTGCAGGTCACTGTTAGTGAACATAGGCCACCTACCTGCAGAACGAAAGCAGTAACACTGCTGACCAACCTGACTTGTCAATGTCCCAGAAAACCAAGGCACTGCTTTGCTCATGCAGTTTCTGACTTGTGATCTGAGAAAACTTGATTAACACATCTCCTTTTCACTTGCCTTTCCAGACTAATGAAGCAGATTATTCATGATTGATAGGAGAGATCGATATTAAAGCACCTTTTCTTCAGTCAGCTGGAACAAGTAATGCTGTGATGTCACTTTTGATGTTACAAAATTAGATTGCCAGTACAAATAACACAGACCCAAACACTAACTTGAACTTGGGCCACAAGATGTGGAATTGACTGTAAATTTATAAAAAGAGTGAAGTTGGAAGAAAACAAACAGAGGAGAATAGGATTGTGGTTACAGTCTAAATAACAGGGCGACAGCTAGGGCAGGACTAGATAAAACCTTGAAATAGTGCTCTTTTGAAAAGTCACTCCATGAAAATTGCTTAATGAGATTTCATATTTATTGTGTCTCCATGACTGAAGAGATCAGTTTTTCTGCAGAAATCAAAATTTGTTTTAGAGATCAAGTATAATTCTTCCACTTTGAAATGAAAGCATCTCCAAGCTACCCTTGCCATCTGAAAACAGAGTTACATTCTTTGCTTGTTCAGACTTCCCTAGGATGAGAGTAATAACAGATGGGTAAAGGGAGAAGTTTTTCCTTCATCTTATGCTAGCAGTTACATTGATAGTAGCAAATACGTTTCTCAGTCTGTTCGGGAAGTCTAACTTCTTGATAGCCTTTTTTTTCCTGATCTTAATCTCATTTGAAATTTTCTATCATAGTGTTTATCAACAGGAGAAAATGTAATTATATTAGGGTTCTTAATAATCAGAAGGATATTATTTGCATTAAACAATGGACAAAAATTACATTTGAAAACTGTCATATTTTAAATCTTATTCAAGCTGAAATGGAAAAGTAATCGAACACAATTATTTCAGAGAAAGCAATAAAAAAAATACAAAATATCCACCTGTCACTTTGCACAGAAAAACATTGATAAAGTCTTCATATACTAAACAACCCTGTTTTTTTAGTTTTTTTTCCATAACACTGGAATACTGTGAAAATATATTTCCTTATTTCACTAGGTAGATCCAAATTCATACATACTGAAACATTAAAGATGTATCAGTTAATAGTTCCTATCATCACTTTTAAAACATCAGTCTGCGGTAGATGCATATAATTACAGTGCTGCATTGTCAACAGGATGAACTATATCCCCGAGCAACTTTGCAGCAAATTAATTAGAGTCAGAAATGTATGGTCTACAGTAGCCATTGATGACAATTCGAGCTTATATGGATTCATCAATTTTGCATTTGAAGCGATAATTTTAGGTACATAAGTATAGGTTTAGGACTCTAATACAAGAAATCTATTCTAGTAGTGATGGTTTGCATAAATATTACATTAGGTTCTAGTAGTATCAGGTGCGTTTAAATATTTAGACTTTTAAATGGCTGACTGATGATATATTTTGCTTTCAGTTTAAGAAAATGCTCAGATCATATCAGAACAGACTACGTAGAGTAGTAACTATTAATATAAAACAATAACAGCTACTGGAGATTTGATCCTAGGACTTATCCTACCCTAAGCAAGAATCGTGTCACCCAGTACACCACCTAACGGTGTACACAGCAAAGTTGTCACTTCCAGCAAGCCAGCCACACGCTCTTCTCCTTGTCCTTCCCCAAGCCTATTCCCAGTGCTACGTTTGCCTCTTGGCCTGAAACCTGAGAGGTTATGCAGGTGTTGAGAGTGCCATACATCAAAGGAATCTTGAAAAGTTATTTATGTATTTCCCTGCCCAAAGGAAGAACATTTGGGCGTGAGCCGTTCCCAACAGATTCTAGTCAGCTCTGTTTTAAGGAAGCAACAAAAATACCTAGGTGGTGAAGTGCAAATGTTAATATGATGGCAAGTATGAATTCTAGTATTCTTCCAATTTTACACATCCTGTAATTGAGATGACCTATATTATATTTTATGAGATTAATTTTATCTTATAATGTATATTTATCCATTGCTGCATGTCAAAGAAATCAGCAATTAATAGTATTTGAATTTTGAATTAGTGGGGGATTTTTCTGTTGCAAATATTGATGTAATTTTTCCATTAATATTTTGCACTTGGATATGCCTTGTAAAGCAACTAAACATGCGGGGTTTCTTGGTTGTTTTGATTTTTTTCTAATATAATCTTGGTCAATGCTACAAGATTTGACCATCTTTATTATTTCTACCTGGATTATCACATTTTGAATCTTGCCATTAAACAACTAGCTCTTATCTTACAAAACTCAAACAATCCATCTTCCTGTTCATATAGGCTGATGTCTCATTGCTAGAAGTTGTCTAACTCCTTATAGTTTTTCAGTAGTCTGATACGCTTTTCTCTTTAGTTCTCTTCCTAGAGATCAAGTTGCAGAATACGTGCTTTAAATATGCTGCCAATCTTCTCTACTGTCTTTCTAATTCCTACTGAATAGACATGTTTTATTTTCATGATATCACTTTCTAAATGCTGCAGTTTTATTCCTTACCTTATCTTATCTTAAACAGCTTGTAAATTCTCTGCAGTTGAGAATGTGTCATCATAAAATGGTTTGTAAATTCTTGAAATAGAGATTGTGTCATCTCTCTGTTCACAAGCATGCTGGATACTACATGATACACCAATGTTTAATAATAACTTAAAATCCATTGAAGTTAAAAACAGAAAGGTACTTGAAGGAATTTAAGGTTTTATTAAATTCTGTAGTATGTAATTACAAACTTGTCCTATAGAGTATGACAGTCTATAGACTGCAGAACAGATAAACTATCATCGGAATGTCTCTATATGCTACTCAGCATCACAGTGTTCCTACTAGCTTTAAAAACCAATATTCAACATCATAAAAAGGTAGTAAATTCAAGCTCCGGTAATTCTGAATACTGACAGGATTTGTAGATAGAATTTTTTTGGTTGCTTACTTGGGTCTTTAGTTTGAGTCAGTCATAGAAAAGTTGTTTGGAAAGGATTGCATGAATTCAGCTACTTTGGCTTCCCACTCAAAGATGGACTACGAACAACACTACACCAGGTTAACCATGTCTAGCCAAGTCTTGAAAATCTCTAAGGATAGAAAGCCCACTCTTTCTTACTCCTGTTCCAACAATGTGCTACTTTCCTAAATTAAAGTACTATATCTCACTAAAGTGTGAAGGAATAGATAATTCAGCTTGACATTTAACTTAGCAAGTGGTCTCTCTAGGATCTTACTAGAGTCAATGAAAAGTGCTGAGATCTTCTAAGGAGCAAAAGATCATGGGCTTTTTTTCATTAGTACATTTCCTGTTTACATTAGTACAGTCTCTGTTTCTCTGCCTGAGAAGACTAGGGCAGGTAAAAAAAAAGACACAAAGTCTGGTGGATGGAATAGCCATCATCAGCTTGAAACCAAAAATCTGTTGGTACACAGCACTGGGCATGCAGTATATGTGTGCACATGTGTATAAGGTATTATGTATAAGCATAAAGGATTATTTGCAAGACAAGTTTATGTAATTAGTTCAACTTGAAATTCCACACTTCAGAAGAGTTCTATATTATCTAACATTCTGTTTCCTTTAACTCAGGTATGGTGACATGGTGCCGAAGACAATAGCTGGCAAGATTTTTGGTTCAATATGCTCCCTGAGTGGGGTCTTGGTCATTGCTTTGCCGGTTCCTGTAATTGTCTCCAACTTCAGCCGTATCTACCACCAGAACCAACGAGCAGACAAGCGCAGGGCACAAAAGGTGAACTGCTAGCTCTCTCTTCCTCTTGTGTTGTTGAGCAATAGATAAAAGATAATATTTTAGATGTTGTGTGTCCTGAAATTGCATATTTTTTAACAGGACTGTTATATGCATATGCTACCCGCCTAGTATCAGCTTCAGATGCAAATATTATAATGTTGTAATGAAGAAAATGGTTCCTTTTTCTTTTAACTCAAAATACACACCTCCATGATGATGGTACTTCATTGTACAGTCAAACTAGATCCAGCATTTTAAGACAATAGTTGCAGTCCAACCTACTAAAGATATTTTCTGTATTTTTTTTGGTCACAACCTACTAAAGATATTTTCTGTATTTTTTTTGGTCAGAATTTCTTTCCTCCAGAGCTTTCTGAGGGAAAACAAAATCTAATCATTATTTCTGATGTCTGGCTGAACTGTTTGTTTCACTTATCCATGTGTTTAACTCACAGATTTAGGCTCTTGGGGATCTGATTATGAGGAACCTTGTTTCCTCACCTCAGCTTTGATTAAAATACTTCAGAAAAAGAGCTTAACCAGAAAAAGACAAAAGCAAAAGTCTGTTTCTTTGACTTTCTGAATATCTCACTAGGAAGATACCAACAAGCCCTGTGGCAATGTACCTTTCCTTCCTGCCCGATCTGGGCAAGGCGAGAAGAACTATTTCACAGAAAAGATGCATCCAATTGTCATCAGTCACCTTTATTTTCATATCATGGCCAATATACCCACCACTGTCCACTTCTTCCAACCCTCTGGTGGGAAGCAAGTCAGATGATAACGCCTGAACCCCTGACAATGGTGGCAGCTGGAAGACTTGGGATATAGCAGACATTACCAGGGTCAAGATATCATGCCACTTTCATGCCACTTTTTTTTTTTTTTTTTTTTTTTTTTTTTGTGGTTCCATAACCTCCCTTTACCATTAGGGTAATTTTGATTCTGTCTATACTCCAGAAATTGTTCATCCCTCTGTGAGTTCACCTCTCTCCAGCTATGAGCAGGCTATGACTGTGGAAGAAACAGGCAAGGAGCACACAACTCACTACAGGCTGTGTCTGCCTCCTACAGACAAAAGCACCTGTATTAGATGTGCAAAATGATTGTGTTTTTCTTTCTGGCCACCTTTTTGATCAGATTCCTCCATAGAGAGAAAGATTAAAAAAAAAAAAAAAAAAAGGACAGAATGAAACCATTCCTGGAGCATTTCAGAATCAGGTATTCCTGATACATGGCCTGATATATGGCCAAGAAATTCAGATATATGGCCAAGAAATTCAGAAATAAGCCTGAATTGAAGATATTGTATTCTCACCCACAAGACAGCCACATCTTGGAAGAATGCCGACAGATGAGAAAAGTGACCACAACAGAAATCACTGGTATCGCAGAAATGCAATGTCCTCCTTGTTGCAGACACACAGAATTCTAATGTCAAATACAGGTTGCTTCAATGACACAGATATCATATCTTACTTATCCATTAGTCCCACATACCCTTTTGCATTTTATTTTGTCCTATGTGTTAGCAGTTAACTAGTTCTAGATGAATTTTCCTGCTTCCTGCAACTGGAAAATTCAGAAAATGCACTACCTTTATACTGCATTGGTTTGTACAGAACTTTTTCAATTCTATTTATGTAATCACAGCAGAGAATGAAAGAATAGCATCCATCAGAGACAACACAGTGCTTCATTACAGTGCCTCCGAGTACTATGCCAGTCATGGATAATGGATCTGTTTGATCCCAGGAATCAATGTGTCTGAGCTTTTATAATAACTGGAAAGAAGGGAACCAGCCTTGCTACATGTTGTAAAATCGTATTTTATAAGTCTTGTTTGCACTTCCAGTTAGAACAAGATGGCCACTAAAAATACCTTGCAAAAATTAGATTAGTAGATTGTCTCATAGTCTTCCTGTATAAAACTGACTGAGCTAATAACTGACTTTTGCTGATCCCAAAACACTGAGCTCGTTGTATGTTACCAACTGGAATATGAAGTGATGAAGTCAGTCTTACAAGGTGTCTTTTTCTCTGTTTCTCAGAGAAACGCACAGTTAGGATGAAAGACAACCGTGTTTGTGCTTGGAGAAAATGACTTTGAGTTCTGCTTAACCTATCACTGCATGTGTCTGCTCCATAGATATCTCCTATTGCAATATTAATTTTCTATCTCAATCTAAAATGAGTTACAGGATGAAGTAATCAGAAGTGAAGTGATTAGGTCTGATGAACTTAGAAAAAAAGTCAATGAAAAGAACTTCTTGGCTACTGCTCAGTCTGGATTTAGCAATATGTAGCTGTACAGCTGTGTAAGAATATTCAAGCAAAAAGATCAAATTCTTCAAGTTCTAAGTTCCTACCTCTTTGAAGACAATACTCAAAAGACAGAGAAGAGATTTTTATTTGTAATACATCTCATTTTGAGTGTGTTTTAGAAGATGGCCCTGCTTCCAATCATGGAAGTGCATTGCTATAAAAGGAATACTGTAATAGATCTGTGGACATCAACATAAAGAACAATCAGCTGTGCTTATTTTATCAGTCAATAAGGGAAAAGGATTTGACCTACTCTGTCAATAAATAAATCACCCCAAGTCGACATGGAAATTAACATTCATGGAAGAATTAGATAGTAGTAAAAGAAGTAGATATATCACAACTGAGAGGACTATTTGGAAGAATCCTGTTTCCAGAGCTTTCCTCAGCTAGTCAGCTGGGTAGCTACATACATACATACACAGCTTCTTACATAATACCCACCTGAACTGGGTTTTTCTGATCACAGAATAGCACCATGGATGCAGAGCCCCATCCCAAGTACTGCAATACTTTTGACACGATACTCTTGTACCTGAATGGAGCATCACTTGCTGGTTTTACTCCATGTTTTCCATGCAGTTTTTTTTTTTCTGCATATTTTGGAGGCAGGACTCTTCTATCCTCTTAACCAAGAAATGTTACACACAGATCCATTTCTCCATTATCGTTCATTTCCTGATCACTGGAGAACCCTTATTTTCCGTTGTCCAAGCACTGACTCCCTAGAATGAGTTTTCATGGTGCCTCAGCAGAACATACAAACAACTATCAGCTGTAAAAGCTGACTTTTTTTCTATACATATTTTCTATATTGGTAAAAGATCATAATCACATGAAAGACTGATTTTATGCATTATGTCCCTAAGAATGATTGAGCTCTGTTTTTTGGGGGGATTTTTTTTTTCTGGTTGGAGGGGAAAGATGTGTTTTGTTTTGTTTTACTTACTGATTGTACTTGAGGTATTTGTGAGGTTATATTTAAACTAAACAGGACATTAAGCTCATCTGGGCTGCAGAAACGTAACTAACAGAACTTACCCAAGATTTTTGAATGCAACACAAAAGCATATAAAGCTTATTTTTACAAAGCAATGATGTGAGTATATTGTGAAAAAGGCAATAAGAATTCCAAATACATTAATGTACAAAGCAACCAGCACTTTCTTTCTACTGCAAATCGGCATATTATAAATTATTGTCAGCTAAATTAAATTATTTACAATTACTGAAAATTAGCAGAACAAAGCCTGAAATGTAGAAGTGATTCTTCATTTGAAAGTAAACATATAGGATGAACTTATGAAAGACCAAAGAAAACCAATTTGCCAATGTAAGCTCAATGCGACTTATATTCACACCATTTTGTCTATGGCTCTAAGAGTCACCCAAAGACTGTGAAAGACTTTTTATTTTTTATTTTAACAAGATCACAAAAACGATCAGCAAACATCAGGTAAGTAAATAGCAGGTTTTCAGTGTCATCTGAAGGCAGTTACTAGTCTGGGGAGGAGCAGCAGAAAGGAACTATCAGAGGCTACTTGTTACCAAACCATAGGGGCAAGCTTCTTACATAACAAAGCGAAGAGAAGCTCCTAACAAAATTGATTCCTGGAAGCTCGCTAAGCTTTACCTTGAGATGAAGAAACCTCTTTCTCACCACAGCTAGACTGCTGAAGGGATCTTGAGTGTTCAAAGTTAGAAAGGCGCTTCTGTTTGTGTGTGTTTGTATATTTGTTGCTATTTAAAACATTGTTAATGAATGTGAATAAATGTTTTTCTTTTTATATCTGATAGAGCTAGTAGTTGCTGATCAACAGTGGTTTCCCTTTTTAAGGTTTTTGTCATAATCTAACATGAATATGAGTGTTTTTTGGGTTGCCACAACCTGCTGTCTTAGACAAGACCCCACCTCTAACTTGAATTTGAAGTTTGACTCTAACTTTGAAGTTAGAAAAAAAAAATAAAGCATTTGAAAGAGAAGTGCTGTGAAAATACAAGCAAGAATTTGAAACAATCTTTGATTTTTGAGATTTCAGATAGGATGTTCATACATGATCATTCCATTAGGATAACTAAAAGAACTTTATTTCAGACGTGTTTTTTTCCTAGAAGCAGTAAAAAAATACAGAAAACAAGATTTAACAAACATCCAATGGCCTAGAGTAAAGACGATAAACCACTAAAGAAGAATTTACCCTTTCTTCTTCTGCAGGATATCACACAAAAGGAGAAAGCTGGGACTTTGCAGTGTTTGAAAGGGGCAGTTATCATTCATCTCCTGTTGGACATGACAGAAAATGCAGTTCACAGACAAAAGAAAGACACTATTCTTGTGTAATCACAGTGCTTCTAATGCCTTCACATCATTTTTCTGCCCTTCATGGGAATTTAATCCCCAGTGTACAACCCTTAAAATCTTGTAGCTGACATAAGCTTTTAATGATTCCTTGATTGGAAATGTGGGGAGTTGCTGGACAACATACACTAAGACTTCAATTTAAACCAGGTAGAAGCACTAAAAAAAAAATTTATCACTGTAACAGAATTCACACTGTAACACTGTGAATAGTTCCAGTTTCTGAAGTATTTTCTGAAAGCTGAAGTATAAGCAGAGAAGCCACAATATCTAGTTCCTGTCTTAATAATAGATCTATTGTCCTCCCTTTGGTAAATGCTGTAAATTCGTGCCATCTTAATGAGTTCCAGCTAGAAAGATGTAAGCTATTAGTTTCCAGCTCACAAAAGCTTTCTAAGTCTCAGCAAATTCATATTCATAAAGCAATTTGAGATCTTTGTATGGAAAGTACAACTTAATATTATACTCTTATAGGACATCTATTAAGATAGTCTCATGAACTGATTTTTTTTGTATTTATTAAATTGAGCTGCCCTGTAATTATTACTTCTGCCATTAAAAGAGAAAATGAATATGAATTGCTAAAAGAAAAAGGCATAACTAATGTATGTAAAATGTTTGCTCATTAAATTTAATGCATTTCCCTACATAAAAGCACACTGAAAAGCATTAGAGCTAAAGAAATTTTTGTGACTGAAGTCAGTTATTTATGGGACTCTATATTGCCTCCTTCAACAGCATTTCTAAAGCATCTTGAGTTTCTAATGCTAATCAGAATTGCCAAGAGAGACTTTTAATATATTTATAAACATAACCCTGTGTACATATTTAATCTCATGACTGAATTCTGTAGTACTGTTATACTTTTCCCAACCTTCATCCCATCACACAGGAGATACATCTGTGGAGTTTCACATTGAATATAATGTGTTTTCTGCCACCCTTAGGGAATTTTTAATTTTGGTCCTGAGGACTTGGTTGTGACCATTCCATTGGTCTCAGATGCCTCCATCAAGGAGCCCTGACGAGCCTGGAGCTCAGAGCTGTAAATCATTTTCCAGCTCTGCAGGACTCCCCTTCTGCAGGCAGTGCACTGGGTAACTCACTGCAGGATGCAAGACTGCCTGGGTGCTCTCCAGCTGGGGGTCATCCGAAAGAAAGCCATGACTGAAAGAGTTATTTTTTCCCAATCCAGTCTCTATGGCCCCCACAAGAGTAGAGTGACAAAATGTGTGTCAGGGGAGCCGCAGTTGCTATTTCATTGGTAAGAGGAGGAAGGGAAAATGGGAATTTAGCTGCACAGCTGCATAGTGCAGGCGATATAAACAATATAGTTCAGTTCATTCTTTATCGCTATGATAGTTATTTTACCATTCCAGATGGGAAGGTTATGTATGCTAAGGAAGACAGGAAATCACAATTTTGTTCTAATATGGTTGATATAACAAAAGAAAAAAAAAAAAAAAGAGGCAACTCAAAAAACTCTCCTGAGCATCTTGACTTCACCAATGCAAACGTACAGTATTATCCTATCTTCTTTTGGAACAATTAAATGATAATAAATGCACAATATGTAACATAGGTCAGATTCTAGCTATTTTTGCTTTTTACTGTCGTGCCTTTCTTGGCTCATTGTTGAGGACACTCTTTTGCACTGTGAGTGCAAAGAAGCGTGGTGTTGAGTCATTCCTCATAGTCAGTTAATTATTAATCATCCCAGAGAGATTTGGTGGCTGCAGTAACCAGTCTGCTTCTTTCTGTGGTGAGTGCTCAGGGATTCTCAGTCATTCCATAGTGGCATTTAATGCCACAGAAACTGGGGAGTAGGGAGGAGAAATGTGTCCCCTTCATTTTCTGAAAATATCAGCTGAGTAACTATCAGATATAAGATCCTTATTATTATATCAACTCTTTCTTTTCCAAGTTTTTCACTTGTTTCTCCTTTTCTGCCTCAGTAGAAATCATTCAGCTCCAATTGCTGCTTTGCACTTGACCTTAAGAATGAAAAAGCTATTCCAGACTCTCTCGGATGTATAAGGAACAGCTAAAAAAGTTGTTAAACCAAGATGCCATTCTACAAGTCTTATACATTTTTGTTTTCCATAGTGTTTCTCTAAAGTAGAGAGGATTTCTTCCCCCTTCATATTCTACCATAATGTTGGCTTCTAACTGTTTTACAGAATTCAGGAATTAAAAACATCCTTCATTTACAATGCCTTGTCCTCTGAGATGGAAGCCACCTACGCAAACAAGAAACCTCACCTGAAAATTCTCTAATTTCATCACCATCTCTTTCAGCAACCTGATGCCTACATTCTCCAAAAACTGAAATTATTTTCAGATGTGATAGTTATGTGATCAGATATGACAAGTATTAAGACTGATTATGAAAGCAAACATGAAGAGGCAAAAAGGCCTTTAAAAGACCAGGTAGACATTCAGAATCTTAGAGAGAATCTGGTGTGCAAAGAGCTATCACATGCTCCCTTATACAAATATTCAGAGTGCTCTGAGAAACCTTGGAAGCTTGGAGAAGTTGAAAAGTCATATTTCTCTGATGCATTTTTCCTCTTTAGAGGGGTTATCACTGCAGGAGCAGTTGAGATGGAAGCCATGTTCCTGACTCATGAGGGACAACAGCACAATCGTGGCCATGTACAGAAAAGAGGCGCTTCCATGCTGAGCTGTAATCCTCTCTCCAAAATTCTGAATAAAAAAATTCAGTGCTCCTTTTATTTTACATGGAAAAATAATTATGTTTTGCTCCACCTAGAGGACGATATAATCCATCCTGTCCCTTCAGTGATTATGTCATTGGTATTTGTAGGCAGCTGATTTCATTTAGCCATTACAGATGAGCAGCATAATGCAGACATCAGTGACACTATTCCTTTTTGTCTCCTTTATGCAGAAAGCCAGACTTGCCCGAATCCGTGCAGCAAAGAGTGGGAGTGCTAATGCCTACATGCAGAGCAAGCGAAATGGCTTACTGAGCAACCAGTTGCAGCAGGTAATATTGTTATATAATCCACTTGCACAGTAACAGTTTAATAATAGTCCAGCAGTAGTTTATTCTATTTATCATCAGGACAAGTTAACTTGGGTCTTTAGACAATGTTACCTACAGATGTAGATTAAGGAAGAATGAATTGGACAATTATTATTATTATTATTATTATTATTAAAGGAAGCTTATGCATATTGATGGTGGAATATTGAAAAAATGAGGGAAGTAGATAAAGAAAAATGCTGGATTTAAATGTAACCCACATTATTAGGAGAAGATCCTATGACAGACTTCACTAAGACAGGATGCAATGTTTACATCTTAGGGACATAAGCAGTATTCATCTCATTTGGCTTAGGGCAGCTAAAACGTGGGTGACAGAGTCTGCATATCCTCCTCCCCTCATCTATGAGCGGAAAAGATAACTCCAGAGCATCATCCCATGAGAAGACAGTGCAGAGCAAAATGCTCCCTGGAAGGAACCTGTTTCTCTCTGAAGAGAATCTCAATGTTTAGTTCAAACATGGGTGTCTATTTCAGAGATATCGAATGTCACCCAGGCACCTTCCCCTAATGGGGAGCCCCAGATGCAGATTTGGAAGCTTGAGCCTGGGAATGGGATCCCCAACAACTCCACAGCTCCATAGGATGCCTGGGGACAGCGTTGTGCCCACTCAGAGAGAAGCAGGAGGAAGACTGAAGACTGTTTCTTAATCCCTCCACTTCATATGATTTAGGCAGTTTGCGAAGGAATACAGGGAGGCTTCCATTTCTCAATTTCCCTTCTGTTTAAAAAGTGCTAAAAATCTCAATGCATAGCCAGAAGGGGAAGAAGTAGCTGCCCAGTTTTTCATGAAAGCCTGTCCAACTGAAGAGATACCAAATAGCTTAATTGCCATGCAGATTTCAAACATCCTAATGTTGAATTGTAATCTTCCCTATTTTGCCACTTTCTTCTTTATTTAGTTTGCTGCTTTCCATTGAACAATTATGAAAGTGATTAACAAACAGTGGAGGCTTTCTACTTAATTCTTCATTCTGTGTCAGTAACATCTGCTCTACACTTTCCGAACTCAGCAGATTGGGATCACTGACATGAATTTTTGTGTAAGCAGCAATACCACAAATTCTTCAGCACTGTGAAATGATCCCAGGAGGGCAACTATGTTTAATTTCCTTCAAATGAGGCACATTCTCAGGAAAAAAAAGCATCTTCCTGTCACTTATATTTATGATAACTTAAAGTATGCATTGATTCAACATTCAAAGCTTGTGTGATGATTGCACACGTGAATTGTGTTAATGTGTCTATACACAGAAGACCCAGGAAGGAAACATCTAAAAGGAGTTCAAGGGAAGGACAGAAAATATTTTGATTAAAAAATGAACAAGCAAAAGAGTGATTATATCCAAACTAATTGGGGTTATACCATGTAGATGAAGCATTGCAGTTATGCTACAGTATACAATCCAGATTAGTTCTGATCAAATATTTGGATAAGAGCCCTCTTGTTCAGAAATGAGAATAATACAGTTCTATGTATTAACAGTCCTCCAGTGAAGAAGAACAGGCCTTTGTTAGCAAATCTGGCTCTTCCTTTGAAACACAGCACCACCACCTGCTTCACTGCCTGGAAAAAACCACGGTAAGAAAATGGAATTTATGGGAAAAGATTTCTAAATAAGTCTAATTCTGAATGCTTTTAGTGTTTATTCTAATTTATAAACTTTCACATGACAGACATTAGCTAGAAAGAAAGGCTATTTTAACTTATTTTAAAACATTATATGTAATGCATGTAAATACCAGACAGAGATCCCGGATGAGAGCCTCATTTAGGGTAAAAAATACTGTCATCAGTGAAATGACATGAGTATAGCCCAGCTGCAGATGTGACCTTCAGTATGGTATTTCGTATGCTAGATAATATATCTTTTGCATTTTTTCTGCAGTACAGTTTATAGGCACAATTTGTAGTCCTCACACATCCAAAACCTTGCAGTCAAAGCAATCTTTAGCCTGAGCAAATAGTGGGAAAATTTGTATAGAGGTAGGTGCTGCCTTTATAGAGAAGGAAGTGTTAACCATAACATGAGCATGATTCTGACTGAAGTGACTGCGAGAGAGGATCCCTGGGCATCTTATTTGGAAACTTCAACCGCTTAATCCAGATGCAGATGCAAAGCTTCGAAGTCCTTTAACTTCGGTTTAGACGTTGGCACATCTGTAGAAGTCAACGATGTAATTTATAGCATCCCAAATATATGTATCTAGATCTGAAACTACCTATTAACCGAAAGGACTTCTTATCATGTGCTCTCTTGTCTTTTGCCTTAGTAAACACCTGGGTAACCACATAGCTATGAAAGATAGTAAATTACAGCAAAGTTATGATTCAGAAATAATTAAAATGCTGTGTTTACCAGTATAATTTTGGACAGATAATGTCACTACAATAACGCTAATGATCCCTAATTTTACACTTTTTACTCTTTTATCATTCCCTAAGGAAGGTACAAGCTTAGAGACTAGTTAGATTAAATTTAATTTTTATAGATTTAGGAAATGTGTATGCTAAAATTAAATCCATTTTTTAATATTTTTGAGGAATTATTTTGCCATTAAGAATATATCCTCTGTTTGTCAGCATCCATTAAGCTGCCATTTACAAATTTACATGTAGTTTTATAGGTTCCAGATGCATCTAAAAATTGGCCATCAACAAGCACTTTGCCACTGAAAATTCTTGACAAATGGTATAAAACCTTGATGTCAAATTAGTAGGTGCTGAACATCTGGATTATGAGACATCAGCATAATTTTGTCCATTTTTATGCATAAAGAATTACTGAAACAAAGTGAAACAAAACAAAGCGAAACAAAACAAAACAAACAAAAAGGAACCAAAAAATTAAAGCAGGGTTTCTCAACTCTGGATCTTATGTAACTGATCAATCTGATCAGATACAAACACCTACAATAAAATTCTCCTATCCATCCCCTAATACTCATGGCAGTTCCAGAACTGTGCAATAGGGAGTAAATTATTTTATTCTCAGAGGCCAAATCAAAGGTTTCAGTTACTTCATGGCTTCCTTCCTCAGTTCTACCCCAACACCCTCTCAATTCCTCCTTGAAACCATCATTTAAAGACATGCTGAGATATCCATAAAAGATTTTTTTAAATGCATCTCAGTAAAAAAATCTGCTCTGAAACTTCTCTTTTGTTTTTGAGTTCTTCTTGCTATGTTGTTTTACCTTTATATTCAGGTTTTAGATTTTCACTAAAAAACGTAGTAATACTTCTGTAATATATAATAGAGGTCATTGCAGAAGCCTTACTGCTGCTGCTTGAAAAGATGAAAAGATTTCCTCCTCACAGACAGTACTAAATTAAAATACAGTGTAGGTATATGTATAATTTACTATTTTCATTTTGACAGCACTTGCTTTTAAGCAAAATGGCCCAGTTGCTATGTCATTTAGATACTGACGTGTCATCTCACAGAAACTTATGTTTCCTTCATGCTGACTTTTGGAATATTCATTTGTGATCTAATGTGCTGCAGCACAAAATGTCTTGCTTCCTATTCACAGTATAATGTAGCTCCTTTGTCAAGATTCAGGCTGGGCATTTTATGAATATTTTTGAAACTTTCTGTACTAGAACTGGTAATAACAATTTGCCTGAAATTGTTCCACAGTTGATTACAAACTTACTTTAAAACTCAGTAGGGTTTTAAAGTCAGCATAGTTCTTTTCGAACTCTCTTTGGAATCATAAAAAGAAATTAGTCATTTGGTGGGAGCTGAATTCAAACTTAAAACTTTCAAATTTCTTCTACTGATAGTAGTGGAATATGAAAAGCTTTTCTTTTTCTCTTTTTCAACCAGTCTTGTTTTAATGACCAAAGGAAAAAAAAAACCTTCTATCCTAAATTTGCATATAATCTACATTCTGTTTTTCTTGGCTATTAAGTCCTGCATCTGGTACTGATGGCCATACAACACAAGAACACAAAAATGTATATAGGGACGCCAAGCTGTGTATTGACTACTGCCTGCTCAGATCATCAATTCCAAATATTTAGGCAGAAATTAGGAAATTTGTGAGTCCCCAGCTTGTGGGATCTGGCAGTCCCACAGGTGATAGTTCCAACGATAGTAACATGAGCAATTCTTCCTTCCTTCCTCTTTTGAATTATCACTTTGTGTGAGCATCAAGAGTGTTTTTCATCTTGTCAAGTAGTTTAGTCTATAGGATAAGATGTCTTCTCTTCAAAACATGGTGTAGGTCACAGATGAAATTCTGTTAAAATTACATTAGCAATGAAAATAATTATGTCAAATTTATATTTTGTAAGATAATTTTAGCTGATACAAGAGATCAGTAAACACTATCCAAAATATTAATTTAAGCCACTATGTATTTCAAAATATTTCCAGGCTACACTCAAATTTCATTCAACAAACCTGTTTAATGGATGTTGCTAATTGAATTCATGTTGCTTGCTCCATAATAGTTTTAGGAAGCAAAAGAATTACTTTCAATCAGAAAACTAGTAGAGTTCTTGGCAAATACAATAGAATTTTTTGAGTATAACTGGAGGATAGCTATTTGGTCATCTTTTTCTCTGAAATTTATGTCCACTATGTGAACACATTTAGAATCTTGTTGTATGTCTGCCTTATAAATAGTGTATTTTCAAGCAAGCTCTTTCTTTTCATATCACTTGAAATCAGCATTCTTCAACGCTGCTCAGTTCCACACAAAATTGTCTGAGCAAAGAAGAATAAAAGAAATGAAAATAATGTCTATTTCATTTCATCTAAGTATTTCAATTTCTAGCAAACATTTGGCTATAATTGTTTACTTTGCTCACTGATTTGATATTTGCACCATAACTCTTATGGAAATTGTGAGTGTGCACATACAGTGACTGCTTAACAGCTGCGTGACCTTTCCATTAGCAAACCATTCTTTAGGTGAGAAAACTAGTTTCCCATATTCTAATATGTGAGAATGCAGCAGGCATTGAAGTGAATGCAGAAAACTTGAAATGAACAAGCTTGCAAAGACTGTAAAATAGCCTGCAGCATGTTACTTGAACCATTCTCAGACTATGCACACCAATTCCAAGAGAAACTGGGGAGATATTTAAAAAGGAGGCTTTCTTAAATAATACATAAATATTTTAGCTTGCTGGACATCTGAGTGGCTACTTTAAATAACTGTAAATATTCTTTATTTGTTAAAATAAAGTTAAAATAAACTTGCAATTGGCTGTAATGTTGATTCAGCTCTATGATAACCTGTAAGATTACTGTCTGTGCTAAATTTCAGCAAAGATTGCATGATGAAGAACATTTATTTGAATTAAAGGCTTTATTTTCTGTACATCTTTTGATATATTGATCTACTTTAATTATAAAATATATTAGGAACTTTGGGGAAGAATTTTAAATAACTGTTTCAGCTTCTCCTAATCTATTCAATTAAATCTTCTTCTTTTAAATAGAATAATATCTGACAGATACTATTTAAAATCCTAATTTCTAACATGTATTTCAAAAAAAAAGCTTCAGAAACTCATCTGAAAAATATACATGAACTTTATTTTATTATAGTTTAATATAGCAAAAGTTATTTATTTCCAAATGACATTTAGCACCTTTACATAAACCTAACTTACATTTTTACTCATAATTAGAATGTTATATTTCTTGGTTCTTTGTAAACTATACAGATATTCATAATGCAAGCTACATTATAATCATTTGATATTCTACAAAAGAATTTGGATTTTTTTTTCTATCTAGAGCTAGTAGTCAGAAAGGGTTTTTTTGCTGTGTTTACATTTTTACAGGTATTCAGCCCAAGCTAAGATGGGCTAAACACTATCTGCTTAAGACTAAGCTGTCTAACTTTCCCAGTGTTTTCAGCTGTGTCAGTTTAAGCCATTAAGTAACCGTTATTAATATATTCACTCTAATTATCTTTGTGTGTGTGCTCTGTCCCTGTGCTGGATTCCTCTGGACTAGAATCATGAGTTTGTGGATGAGCAAGTCTATGAAGAGAGCTGCATGGAGGTTGCCACAGTCAATAGACCCCCAAGCCACAGCCCCTCTCTCTCCTCTCAACAAGGCGTTACCAGCACCTGCTGCTCACGAAGACATAAAAAGACTTACCGCATCCCAAACACCACCCTCACTGGTAGCCGTCAAGGCAGCGTACAAGAGCTCAGCACCATCCAGATCCGATGCATGGAGAGAACACCTCTGTCCAACAGGTACTTTCTGTGCACTGGTACTCCCAGAGCTGACCCACCCCTGTTCGTTAGAGAAGAGATGTAGACATTTTGTGGCCTCCAGGGCTAGATGGTGAAGCAACAGGTCAAAGTAAAATAGTTGTCCAAAATGTACACTGGTACTGAAACATCCACTTGTAAACGTAATTTAATTTGATCCAAGTTTAATCCGATTTAAGAGAATCCTCTAGGTCTCTCCTTTGTTCTCTCCTCCCCACAAACTCCAGGGAATATTTGCAGGAAGAGCTTCTGGAGCTCTTAAATTAAACAGAGGCCCAACCACTACAGGCCACAATAAGCACATTATAAGAGAGAAGTAGAAAGCTATTCAATTCAGATGTACAAGATGAGAAAAGAGAAGCAAGTTGTGTCAGTGCCATTTCTATTATTTTGGTTCAGAAACAGAGACAGAAGTAGATTTCCTCATATTTTCACAGAAAAGGGAAACAGAACTAGACTCTCAGTCTTAAGTGCTGTTACATAGAAAAAGAATCTTCTATATGAAAATATGAAATAGATGGGAATAATATATTTCCTGGTTTGAAGAGTTATTAAAGAAGTCAAAAAAGTGCAGTTCAAGAGGCTGTAGTGACTGAACATCTTTGCACTCTCAGAAGCAAGCCTTTTGGCTTTCAGGTATACTGAGCGCCACCTCTGAAAACATAGCAAAGATCTCAGGAGACTCAGAAGTGTTTTCTATTGAAGTCAAATATGTCTTCATTAAAAAAAGAAGTGTTTTCAGCACTAGTTGCTATAGAGATTCAGTCTTGTGACATTTTGACTAGCTTACTGTGAATAATTATTAAGTTTGGATTTCACTTCCATGAGCGATCCAGCAGCTTGCAACTGCTGAAGTTTTTCTGCTGTTGTGCAATGGAACCACTGCAATCTATGTCTTGTGTTTCCAGGAAATATTATTTCTGGACCCACTGCTTTTGTACTAGAGGACTTCCTCACATCACACTTGCAATCACAGAGCACAAGCTTTAGGCTAAAAAAAAGCTAAAAAAGTAAAAACAAGCAAAAAAGCTGAAGCACAAAACACAAGACCCAACCTCATTTTGACAGAGCTTGACTTTTAGAAGTTGCTCATAATGCTGAGGCTTAATTCTCATAGAATTAAGACACAGCAAGTCCATGGGCACATTATTTAAACCTCAACCAATGCATACAACATTGGGTCTTACCGTTGGGGATGCACAACACACAAAGAGTTCTCAAGAAAAAAGTCATGGCGTAGAAGTCAATTGGAGAATGGGATTATCCCTCACTTTTTACACTTATCCCTCACTTTTTACACTTTTCTACGCAATATACCCCTTGACTATGGTAAGCTTAATTTCTACAGCGAGGAAATAAAATACCCCCACTGTTCAGAAACATTTACCTGGTGAGACCCTTTTAGAAATATTAAATGATTTTAGGAATACAAAATGATTTTAGAAATACTAAACTAAGCTCAGACCCTTTTAGAAATACTGCTGGAAGAAGGGACGGGGCTGTCCATAGACCAGACCACAGGACCATCTGCTGCAGGGGCACCTTGTGTGAGGGCTAGGGATTGCATAGGGGCCTGGTGACCACCAGGCCTTCGGGCTTGAGTAATGTCTGTGCCACTTGGCACTGGGCCCTCCAACATCACAGCGTGAAGATGACCAGCTGAGGTAGGGTGTGCTGAATCTGGCACGCTGTTGGTAATCCAGACTTTCTTCATGGATTTTTATTTCTTCCTCCAGCCGATCCAGCTTAAACGCCAAAGTGGAGGAGTGCGTTAAACTAAACTGTGAGCAACCTTACGTCACTACAGCAATAATTAGCATCCCGACACCTCCGGTTACCACACCTGAAGGAGATGATAGGCCAGAGTCTCCTGAGTACTCAGGAGGAAACATTGTCAGAGTATCTGCTTTATAAAATAAGGAATTATTTGTAAATCAGGAAAAAAAAAGAAAAAAAAAAGAAAACAAAAAGACCATTGCAAGTTGAGCTCTAGCAGTGAGCAAGGAGTTTGGAAGAAGGAAAGAGCTGTCAACGACAAGGCCCCCTCGACGTGTGCACCAGCAGCCACCCATCGAGAGGTGTAGGAGGAAAACACTTTGGTTTTCAGTGTTGTAGTGCGTTAACCCGAATGGAGTTTCTACACCCTGTTTGAACAGATGATGCAGTGGAAGCTTCTGTGACCGTTCTGACTTACTATATGAGCACAATGAAATGTCCCCATTGATGCTTCTTCTTATCATGAGAGCTCTTTTTAGAAAAAAAAAAAAAAAAAGAAAAAACACACACAACATAAAAAAATAGAAACAAATCTGTGTTCCTGCTGAATGCAAAACAAGAAACATTTTGATAACATTTTTTTTTTTCTGGTTAAAAACTGCAAACTTGTTGAGAAACTATGAAAAAAAAGAAAGAAAAATGCTCATATGAAAGAAGTTTGTACTGACTGAAAGAAATACAACCATAATGCATGCTGAAATTATTTGGAGCTGTGATCTCAGTTTATTTATGTTGTTTTTCAGATTAGGCATGATAAAATATTACTGTAGAAAGGGGCATTTCTGTGCACTTACAACATGCTGATTGTTAATGTTCCATGGTAGTTGTACAAATAACTTCCCTTTGAAAAATGCAGTATTTCTTACTCAAACACTCATTAGTGAACTGAAGGTGTTCAGTTAGTTCAATATTTATTATTGTTTTATCTTGCTTCCTAGGTACTGTTACAACTGCAATAAGTCATTGTACACCTGTTGTATCAGGAATCAGGATTTTTTCTTTTAAATAGATAATTTACACAAGTTCATCTGCACTATAAACTTATACTGGCAAACATTTAAATAATCTTATAGCCAAACTGTGCACCACAAATGTACTATTCAGTCATGTTCTTTTTGTCCACTGTCCTCTACTTCCATGACAGTACCCTGTCCATTCCAACATTGCTGCACTGTTTGGGATTTCAAGGTCACTGATGAATCAACACAGTCCATCATTCTCTAAACATGTTGCCTACTTTTGTACTTTCAGAACAGGCCTCTTGCCCTTGTGTACTGTAACTATACTATTTGAATTAAACTTCTTTTTTTTTCTTTCCCCCCACCTCCTTTGTCATTAACCAGCACTTATCTCCAGGCTTGCTTTGATTACATATTGCAGCATATTGGCTATGTTGGAAAACACTGAAAAACAATTGCTAAATTCTTCTTGTAAGTAGCAGTAAATTCACATCCTAAAACGTGAGAATCTGTATTAAGATACTTTCTTACCTAATAAGACTAATAATATAGTGGTTTGGGTCCAAAAGCTACAAGGGTATAACTGAGTTAAATTGCAATTTGCCTAAAAGACCAAGCCTAAAAACAGTAAAAAGGCTCTACACATTAAGGTTTTTCAGTTTCATTTTTGAGACGTTAATGTTAACAGAAAACTTTCTGATAAAAGTCGTATTTCTTTATGAACAGTAAAAAGATATAATGTAATGCTTCCTATATACATGAAATACATCATATAAACCAGATATACACGAAATATATGCATATCAATACATACATATATACGTCAAAACCACTGAATCAGAAATAACTGCATGTCTGCAAATAAAAATATGCATACAAATTAAAAGGCTCAGTGCATTAGGGTCCATTATCATAAATGATTAACATACTCAATTTGAGTAGTGTATGCTTCAATACAGCATTTATCATTTTACTGATCTTAAAGTTTACAGTAAAACACCCACTTAAAACTGAAATTTGTTGTTTTTACTGCACACAAATACTGATATTTCTACTTACCTGTCAGATTTTGATGAACAGAGGATGGAATACGCCACAGTATATTCACCAAAGTAGTAATATTGTCACATACACAAATTAAGCTTCAATTAAAAATAGCACATAATGTAACATATTGCTCTTTTTATTGTTTACTTATTCAGAAATTTGCAATTAACTTTCCTCCCCCTCATTTTTTTTTTTTGGTGAAAATTAGAATAATTTGCTTAATTCAATTAAACTGCTAAATTTCTTCCAAAGATTGATAAATAGTAGAAGCACAGATTGCCTTCTGACGTACAAGATGCTCATTTTGGGTAACTCTGCTGAAGTCAATTATGTTTCTCTCCTCTGTTTTACCTAGTTATGAAATTGCACTAAATCTGCGGAAGCTGGTGGGTTATGTAAGTTTTACTGCAGTGTACAAGAGGGGATCTAGAGCTTTTACTTGCATCCTACATTTCCCCATAATACTCAGAAAAAAAGATATATCTTGATCCCCTCTGTCAAAGAAAATGTTGATTTAAAAACTGCCTCGCTATTAACAATCTGTAACAACTTCATGTCACATGGTACTTGAGTAGGTATATCTGGAAAATAACACAAAAAGGTTGTTACTAAAATCCATTTGGGACTTACTGCATACAGCCCAGGAAACCTCCCGACTCCATTAGGTCATGCATCTCTTAAGAAATCTGGCCTCTTTGTTCTTTTTCATATGGACTAAAACACCTGCATTACAGCAATACACTTGCAGAACAGTTATACCCCTGAATCAACTTGTACTTTCATTGCTAAAATACAGCTTAAAGAATAATTTAATATGATTTTGCAGAATGCCAGTCCTGTCTCCTATTTCCATGTCACGTGCAAAATCATTGATTTATTCTGAATTTGGGAAATACACATTATTTTGGTGTTTTAGGTGATTTAAATGCTGTTTTGGTAGTGAATGACTGTTGATGACTGTGTAAAATGCATCTGTACTGTACATGAAATGTAATTATTTCTGTGTATCATACAAAGAAACAAAGGTTGTTGTTTTTGACAATTTTGTTTGACAGTCATATATCGTATTTCAGAAGGCAGCATAATACATGTGTTATGCTGAATAAATAGACATTTGAGGAATATTTAAATAAAACATCTGCATGCTTGAACGGGTCAATCTGGTTTTGCAATAACTTATTCATGGAACCTTTTTTTTTTTTTTTGTCTCTGCTAACAAGATTCAAGGAACACTAAATTTGAAGGCAGCAAATGTCCCTGATGCTAACTCCAGCAATCTGGGAGCATTAAATTGCTTCCAGCAAAGTGAACTCTACCTCTTCATGCACATTTTTTAAAAAGAGGTGTCCACCGTGTTCTGAATACATCCAGACACTGACCAATGCACTGAATGTCCCAGGCCAGAGCACCACTTGAGATCCGATAACATCTTCCCTCCATAGTATTACTGCATCAAGGAGATCAAACTCCTTTTGTAGCATTATAGCTACATGTGCATGACTTTTCCCAGAGGACACCAACACCACCGCCCATGCTGATTTATCCATCATGATGTACACAGCATTACTGGCATGCATGACAGCTACCTTTGTCAGGACCATACTTTTAGACGGATACATGAAGGGAAAAGCCTTCTAATATAAATCACATCTGTCTGTTAAGCATCCTAGATCATATTTAAAAATGATTGTCCTCTATTCACAGGATACAAACCAAAAGCATACGCTTACATCTTCAGACTTTAGATATAATCATCGTAACTCACCCTCAAGAGAACATTTTCACAATGGAGAATATAATACGGATTCACACCTGTTCTGTGATGATATTCAAAGATGATGACTTTCAAAGTAGAAATTAGTCTAGAGAAGAATAAATTGCTAAAAATCACAGGACCCTAGAAATCTTGGTGGGGAGGTAGATTTGAAGATTTTTAGGTGTTCTGGAATAGCAATCAAATATAATTACTGAATGAAAATGATACCGGATTTGCAACTGTATAGATAGGCACTGTAAATGAGCTGTCAGGAAAGAACAATAGCAACACACTTAGAATCGATGAAGCCTGTAAGTACTGAAGCCTAAAGTACCTAGCCAGCTTAGTTTCTTAACTGTCTGAATAACTGTTCATTATTTATACAGCATCTATGTGCAAGAAAACATTGGAAGTAGGAGAGCCCTGAAAAAAAGCAAATAGCTGCATGCAAAATTCCGAGCCATTTAAGACATTCCAATTTTTTTTAAAGAAATGCAGTCAATCATTGGTGAGTTATAAAGTTTTAGACAAAATCTCATTTCCATATAGCAATTCACATGAATTAAACATCACGTTATAGTGGTAAAAGTCTCAAAAACTATTTGAAAATTCCAGGCTGCATCATAATATAACTGTGTAGTCACTCTTAACAACTGCCTCTCTTTTTATTACTTATTCTTTCTATATGCCCTTAGATTTATGGGGTGGTTTTACACACTGAACTATGTCACAGTGAAGAGAAAACATAATGATGCTTCCTTCAGAAAATTTTGCTATGTGACTTGCTGGCAGAGGAAGTGATTCCTTGTCCAAGGACCAAAATAGTAAAGATTATCTTCTAAAGTATCCTTATACTCCTGAATCATTCCTGCATGATGCCAAACTTCATAATCCACTGTTACAGAAACAGTTCCATTGATTCAATCCTGATTTACTGGGCTGAATGGGAATGCCTGGTGTAGGGCAGGGGTTGGCCCATTATCTAACACAGATGCTGTCCTCTACATTAAGTGAAGGTCTGTGAAAGGCATTAAAAAGCCGCTCCGTAGCTGCTTGTCACAACAAGAAAGATGTGTTTCATTACCACTACGCTGAAGAAAGAATCACTCTCCTCTGGGTACTCCCTGTGCGATGTGCGACTTACAGAGAAAGGAAAGAAAAGGATGAAGCAGCTTTTGCCACTGCCAGTATCTCTAAAGGCTCCCCTTGCCAAGCAGCCACTCTCTGACTTAAATTGCAAGTCCTACAGGAAAAGGATATACTTACTGCGGCTTAGTCAGTCAACCAAGGACTTTGAATAAGCCCTAGGAAAACAGGACAAGGCAGTCTGAGCTCAGTGAAATAAAAGTTTGAAGGAGTTCCAAACTACAGGCAAAACCTTGAAGGGCTAAGGGGCTTAGATACTCAAAACAGGAGAGCCAGCAAGAAGCCTCATCCTCACTACCCAGAATAGTTAGCAGCAAACTTTAACAGGAAAGGAATTACTTCCAGCATTCCTGGTGTGTGTTTTTTTTTACCCAAATTAAACCAACATCAATCCGAATGCAGACTGGCTCAAGATCAGGTAAGGTTACCCTGAGTACAGAAGTTCACTATCCTGGGGGTCCACAAACATTGGTCTGTAAAGTGCGTCCTATATTAAACGTGCCAAAATAGTACTAGAATAAGGGATCCCTGACCAAACCATGTTTTGAAAAGCACGACCTGAAGCCTCTATTCTTTCTTAGCTTGGTGTGGGAGAGATTTGCCAGCTCCTGGACTTAGAATCTCCTGATTCAGTGTTGATCTGATGAATCCTCTTCATCACTTGAAGAGAACAAGAACCCATGACTTTATTCAGTGAAAAACTGCATAGCTCCCAAAGACATGCAGAAACTCTTGCGTGTCCTTGTTTATGTTCTTGCAGGGTGCCCTACCAAATGCTGCAGGTATTCTAACCAAAGAATTCAACTTTTACCAATCTGGCAACCCCCACAGGACCATACAAATACCTTCACGTTCTGCCCACCTGTTTAACCTAGGATGGCATGCCAAGCTCCACCTTATGAACACCCTCTTGCAAAAAACCTCTGCCAAAAGCTCTGCAAGTCTCTAGCCTCTCGTATAGAAAAGGGGGGAAGGGGAGTAAAAATACCCTTCTTCAAGCCCTAGGAGGAGGACCACTACAAGTCAATGTCCAACACTTTTCATACATACATACACACACCTCCCCTCACAAAAAAAAAAAAAAAAAAAAAAAAAAAAAAAAAAAAAAAATAGAGCAGCAATATGGAGATCTCACAACTACAAAACGAGGTAACTAAACTAAAACCAGATAAGGAGACCCTAAAAGTGACTCTGCCATATCTGCATTTCCCTATAAAGGGGGAACCTTCACCAATAAGTCTGCTCCTTCAAGCGCACACTACACCCCTTTCTCAGCCTGATGAACTACTGCCATGAGAATGACCCACCTGCACCTAACGGCAGTGTTTGCTAACCACGTGAAAACCCTAAAAGCAAGTGATCCTGCCTGTGAGTAACTCTAATTCCAGCTGTGGAATTCTCCACGCAATCTCCTTAACCAGGCCTTCTTGCCATGTATGTTCTCTCATGAGCTCTAACCCAGCATGGGAAGATCTACAGGTTAACCAATTCGGAGCTGGGAAAGTCCTCCACAGGATGACATAACCTAACCTCAAGATAAGGATAGCTGAAGAACTGCTGGATCACCTGAGTGAGGAGCAGAACCTCTTCCAGTAACATTTTCTTTTACTTGGGGCATTACGACAGTATCTGCAGGTGGTACAAATATCTGGGTTGAAGATAAGATTACTTATTATTCCAAATGTCATGATTATAAATTCACAAAACACCCCTGTTTAGTAAAGAATTTCTCCCAAATGGGCTTAGGGCTTGCAAATGACTTCTGCTATAGTGTGAAATTTGAATTTTATAGTGAAATCTAGCGAGCCATGACACTGACTTGTAAAAGCACCATCACTGCGCCACAGCCACCGAACAGAAGACAACCTGCAATGAAAGCCTTCCACAAAAAGGAGCAAGAAGCTATGGCTCAAACCACTGTGTAGCATCACAGTAGTACTTCTAAAGCTGGGATACATCCAGGTTTTCCTGGTTACATGGTCATTTATTTTGTACCTAGGACCACTGCCATAGCTGCAGGAATGCTGCCCAGGCTACATGGAAGGAAGGATGGAAGTCTGCTCTTCTGCTGTGCATGTAAAGTGAGTCTGGACGCAACAGACATGTTGCACACTGCATGAGCATAGATTTTTGAGAAGGAAATTCCAGAGGAAAAAAAGTGTTTTTTTTTTTTTATAGAAGTATAAAAACAGAAGGCTAATCTTGCTTGCAATAGTACCTGTGAAATAATTACACCCACACGGAGATTGCTAAAAGAAACAAACAAAAGCCCACACAGTTGAAGAACTGAATTTCATGATTCTTTGTCAACTTTCTTAGAAGTAATAGAAAAGAAACTGAAATTTGCGACTCATTTCTCCATGACAAATGACAAGTCTGGAGCGGAATAGGTAAAAACATGTCAAATTAACTCACATTAAGAGGAGTTCCCTGCTTCCACCCAAAGCATTCACATTTTTACAATGATCTTTACAATAAAAAAAGCCATTATGGAATTTAAGACAATAGTAATTTTATTGTCTACCAAATCACGCCTTGCTGCTTTTTCCTTTTACAAATTCCAAAACAAGTGGAAAGTATTTTTAAAATGCAACAGTATGTAAAAACTCTTTTGACAGAAAATACTGTACTCAGTGGAGCAAATACATATTTCAAGAGGGTGGCCACTGTAAAAATAATCCTATGAAATAAACCTTGTTCATAAAAATACAGTAAAATGCACATTTCCCACCTCAATAAATATATCTTAATGCTGCTTCCATGTGACATTTTAAGTCATTGAAGATCTCTTACTGAAGAATGAACCAAAGTGTAATTTCTCTTTCTGTACTTTTACAGTTACTACAATAGCAACCAGAACAACAAGAATTTTTCTTGCAGTTTTTTGTTAGTATTTTGAGGGGAAACATGGATAGAAAAATGGATATATCTGCAAAAACATGCTACTCCCTATACTGATACCCAGTTTGGAAAGAATGCTTTTTATTTCTTTAATAACAACAAATAGTCCACAGAACAAACTGTTTCAGAGAAGAATTTTCTACAACTACTCAGAAAATCAGTCTATTGTCCAGAGTCAGTTTTGGTTTTAATCTGTTTAATAAATTTAAACTTAAGAATTAAACAGTTATGTTAGATAAAAATAGAAGTTTTAGAACATCTTCAACAACAATAGCTAAGATAAGGATTTTGTTAGAAAAAGAATCTTGCTTTTTTAAAAACAAATCTTGCAATTTTTAAATCCAAGTATTTACTTGAATTGTAGTTCTGCTATCCATGCACACACAAAACACACATTTATCTACATGTAGATCCCTGATTATTTTAAGACATTTTCCAAATGGCTTAGTAAAAATGTAAAAGTCTATTTCAGCTGAAGTCAGATTCCAAGTTTGGCCAAAGCCCAGTCATTTCTTTGGAAGACAAGTCTCTCACTTCCTTTTCAGTGGTACTTCGGAGTAGGTCATTAGCTCTGTCCATCTACCTGCGGATACATGGGTACTTTGCACATCACACACCTTGTAAAAATAAGTTAAACACTACCATGCCCAGTGAATTAATGCCTTCTGAAAACATAGAGCCACCCCTGCTTCACGGTTGTCCAAAGAGACCAAATAACAGACATTTTTGCTTGTCTGTCTTTCTCGTCTGCTCTTTTCTCTCTAGCCATTTTCTGAAGCACAGGAAGACCGGTATACTCAATGTGCTGGATGGAACAGAATAAAAACACCACCAAAAAAGGGGGAAAAAAAAGAGGGAGATTAAAACCCTTTGCAACTCCTTTGACCCCCTGAATCACCTATAGCTCTTCCATTTCAAAGTGTGTATTAAAGCTGTTTGCCATGGATGTATGCTCAAAGATCCGCGTTAGGCTTGGTTTCAGCAGCTCCACCGAATGACATGAGAGGTGTTGCGCAGTGTCACTCTTCAGGGACATGATCTGGTCTGCCCCAGGATCCCTTCTGTCATAGTACAGAGCCCACAGCAAGGTAATAGTGAGGATCATGGCCAGAATCTGTGTTACTCCAATGGAGATCCCCAGAAACCGCAGCACTTGCAATTGCTTTGTCCCCCTCAGAAAAGTGTACATTTTTTTACCGCAGCCCTATAAAGCAAAAGAGAAAAGAAATATATTTAGTCAACATTACTTGACTTGATGAGTTCCCAAAATTTAGCTCATCCTATCTAGTATCAGCACCTCAAGATTTCTCTCTTGTGCCCTTCAAACAATATTTTGCATTTTTTTTGCCTACTTCTTTTTCACTGTCATCCCAAAATCAATGTAATCCTAAAATTAGTTCACACACTTAAAAAAACCCTGCATATAACAAGATCCAACAGATTTATGGTATACCATTCTATTCAAGTTTTTTCAGAGTTAATATGAGTTCTTATCACCTTCACTGATTTTTAAACTCAACTATTTGGCCAAGATTTAAAAAGGCTTTAAATCCTCTTAATCATCTTATTTATTTCTTTAAATTGCAGATCTTTAGGTCTATTGATTATTTTAATGTGTAGTGTTTTTCTTCTAAAAAGAAAACCGCAATCTTAAGTTAAAACAATATTTTAAGAAAAATCTATAGACCTGTATAACCTCATAATGTTTCTTTGCAACTTTTCTTTGTTAGTGTTTTATCTAGGCTCATGATATGCTAGTTTTATTATTTCAGCAGAAAGTCCCAATGGAGTAGAAAAATCACTACATCCCAGACAGTGTGAGCATGGAATACTTGTTAATGAAGGGCTCCTGACAGATTTCCAGAATGCAAAGGATATGAACATTTTTTTCTTTAATGAATTTTTCTTCAGTAAAAAGCAGGAAGAACACCATACCAAAGTAGCATCATTCCTTTTACTGGGAGCATCTCCTCAGTAAAAATACACATTCATTTACAACTGACACACTGAAAGCATTCCCCAGCTATTCCAACACCATACCCCTAAAATAGACCAAATTCATTTGTGCTCTAAATGTAGAAATTTCTGGTGCTTTTTTTGCAATAGCTTTCCATCCAGAACCATTTTTATCTTGCATCTTGTGCGGCACTAAGAAACTTAATGCCATTGCACAGTAATTTCTCAATGTCTTTGAAAAGTTTTATGGCTATTTGTTTTAGAGAAAAGAAAAAAAATGAATCCAAGTCTTTGTGACTGGGAGGCAACAAGGAAACCAGTATTATGGAAAAGTACAGGAAACGTCCCTGTTTAAAAAATAACTTAGTTAAAAGGAATTTGACACTTTTTGCCCCTTCTGCACAGCACCACAGGCTACTGCAGTGGCACCAAGGAACCACTTCCACCGCAGTGGAAATTCTCCACGGTCAGGTCACAGCTCTGATGTGACAGAAGTACCAAAACTCTAGGTATGGCAGTTTGAAAATATCCCATTGAAAAATCCTGCCCCTTGCCACTGCCTACCGGTTTCACTCAACTCTGTGCCCATTTCCTTTCCCTGCATTTACACCAGGAGAATGTTGAGATACGGAACTTGAAAAATCAGATCACTGGATTTTTGCCTTATTTTGTTTCACTAACCCTTGTGAGAGTAGCTGTAACTAGATGCCTGCCTTGAGTTCTGCACAAACCTAAGTAGGGGGCTTGGCTCTGTTCCAGAGGGGTTACAATCCATATACTGTATTTGGAAGATGCTCACATACATCATCTCTCCCAACCATAGTGCAGGTGCAAATCCTGAGTAATTACTCTCACGTGAAAATGTCTGGTGAATACAAAGTATGCTTCATTTCTAAAAATGGAAATTTAGAAAGAGTGGTTGCTCTTTGACTACTCAGCACTTTCCGAACTATCAGTAGATGGCTCCACAGTTTGCCCATGCGGCCAACTAGTTACTGCACAAGGCACTCAGGAAAGCTCCCAAGTCCTTTTAAAGCAGGGAGGATCCACAAAAAGACACTGTCTCTGGAAACCTTGGGACAACAGAGCCAGCAGAAACTATACTGCTTGTTGCTCGTATGTGCCATCCTTCAGTCTTGAATGAATAAAGCTTTGAGAAGTGGACCTTCAAGCTCCTTTACAAATGCTTATTCCCCATTCTAAACTTTACAGGACAGAAATTAAAGGTACATGTAGCCACCAATGAAAAATTCTGATCAATAATCTGGATGGGAAAATGATAAGGATTACAAATAGGCATCAGTCTTGGCTTCAGATATCAGGAACCCATCAAGAAGGGCATTACTTTTCAAATGTCATTTCCACGCTTCCTTACTACGTATTTTTTACAGCCTTTTAATGACAAGTAAGTAGTTGATCAAAGTAACAGAATCACTGAATCAGAGAATGACAGAATGTTCAAGGTTGGAAGGGACCTCTAGAGATCATCTAGTCCAACCTCCTGCTCCAGCAGGGACACCCAGAGCACGGGGCACAGGGTGGCATCCAGGCGGGTTCTGAAGACCTCCAGAGAAGGAGACTCCACAACCTCCCTGGGCAGCCTGTTCCAGGGCTCTGTCACCCTCACAGGAAAGAAGTTCCTCCTCACCTGGAGATGGAACTGCCTATGTTTCAGCTTGCACCTATTTCCCCTTGTCCTGTCACTGGAAGTCAGCACATATTTCAAACACAGTAAAATTCCCAGTAGTCAACATTGTTTCAAATGAAAGTCCTAAATGTATTTAATGAAAGGTCTGATTCTTGCCTTGCACACAGTATTCTCACTTACATCAACAGATTCTCATTTAGGATCTAAACAAAATTAATGTACTATATAATGACTGCATAAGTTGAAGGACCTCAATGTCTTCGTAGTGTTCATCGTATCAGTGTGTGATTCTTTAGGTATTAACACAGTTTACCCAGAAAATAAGATCCAAATTTTGATTTTTTGAAATCTGAAAACCAAAACATTGCAGCAAAACCTATTTAACTAAACTTGATGAGGAATAAAAATTATCTTGTTGGCATCTATTTTTTTTCTTGAACTAAAAGATGTTGTTGCAATAAAACTGCTTTCCAAATTTCCTTTTAATTATAGAGAAACTGCCTGCTTTTAATACTTTTGATAACTTTAAGAGATTAAGGTACATGCTGGTCACAATTTAGAAATGTTTAACCACAGCAGTATTCAAATTCAGTTCATTTGTTGCCTAGAGGAAACATCCATTAACAGAGAGCTATAACATTAATGTCTACATCTCCTGTAGTTCAGACACATAACTAAGACAAATTATGCCTCATCTGTATAGACTGCCTCCCTCCACTTAATGATGTTCTTACAGTTCTACTCTAATGCACATTCAAAATCAACTCCAAAAATGAGAAATATCCAACCATGCCTGTTATTCTCACATTCATACATTTTATTTCTGCTCATACAACACATTTGTGGTTGGTAGTCTGCAATTAAAGAGTGTATAAATATATGCTCTTGTAGGATCGTATCTTAAATTAGGCACTCTTCAAAAAGAAAAGAACACATAAACACTATCAACAGATCTGATCCTTATGTATACTTAAAATTATATTAGAAAACAACAGAAAAGGATATTTAAAATTCAATTCTGATTTTTCTAAAGATGACAACTCCTACCACTTATTTTAATTAGTCTACAGTTCCTTCTTATAGTACTGGCAGAAATAACCTTGTGCTCAGGCCTCATATGTCACATTGGCATCTTATATACCTGTCTCATGACCACTACTTTTCAGAAGCTAATGTATTTCATGAATTGCAAATAAAAGCATTCCTTGAAGATTAATTTTACAAAGCTTGCAAAATCCAGCTAGAGCAAAAAGATTCTTTTCAAATGATACTCTGAGATAGACCTATAAATAACCCACTCCTCTTACAAAAAAAAGTAGTATCTGCAGACAATTATGACTTAGAATATTGAAAGCTCAGAGATTCCGATAGAAAATAACTGCAAACCCACAACAAATCAACTGTGTCAATCTCACCCAACAAACCAAACTTCAGTTTTCTGAAGTACCGGAAAGAACTTTTATAAGTACTAGAGAGGACTTGCGAGGAATTTACATAAGCCAACTTTAGCCTAGCAAGACTAATCTCTTTAGACTCCACTTGAACCGGAGTGACAGACTATGTGTGCTTGTTTTGAAACACTTTCTTAAGATGTTTTGCCTATTTCATTCTCCAAAGCTCAAGTCAGACAGACTAGTTTTGCAAGTTTGTTTAGCATAGTATCCATAAATTTAATATCAAGCATACTGCACAAGTCTGTAAAACAAACTTGTATGCAAGCACCACAGGAAAAAAATGTCAAATGAATATTGTTAAGACCTCCCAGAAACCAACATGGTATTTCTTGGCTAATGAAAGGGTTGCTCTTTGGAATTGATTCTGCACTAAGGAATCAAAAAAATGAATAGGGGTTGAATCCATCTAACATGTTCTCGAACATGGTGGAAGAAGATTTACAGATTAATCTTTCAAGTATCTCTGAGGAAAAACAGATGATAGCTTTTCTATCAAGTGAGCCACTGTAAAGTTTTTTTTTGCTTTACTAAATTATCATCATCTTTGGCTATCAATTTTCTCCAAGTAGAAGCCAATGGAGTCACAAACATGAAGTGGGTAGAGACCTCCTTTCCTGGTATATGGCTATGGAATATAGAAGAGTTAGCAGAAAGAAGATTTATCTGTAGTTTCGTCAAGTCATGTCAGTGAATATTGTTCCCTCTCCTAAGTATGCACCTTACTGAGGTCAAAATAAGGTTTGTATTGAGTGAGAATGGCTTATGTGCTCTTGTCTCCTATATAAGCAGGAGAGATACTTAGGAGAGATGATGACTCTCCTTTAGTTTCCACAAATCTATCCTTCTGCAGGCTCTCTAAGGCAGAGTTGGAGGGTGGTTCATGGCATCACTAGCATGGCATAACCACATATATATATATATATATTTATTTTTACATATATATATATATCGTAGAATCATAGAATGCTTAAGGTTGGAATGGACCTCAGAGGTCATCTAGTCCAACCCCGCTGCTCACGCAGGGTCATCTAGAGCACGTGGCACAGGGCTGCATCCAAGTGGGTTTTAAAGATCTCCAAAGAAGGAGACTGCACAACCTCTCTGGGCAGCCTGTTCCATATGTATACATACATATTATTGTAGGGTAGAACAGTTTCTTCAAATACATGTCAATGCCTGGCAGGTGCTAGGAGTGAGTGTTCTGGCTGTACCGTTCAGAGATGAACAATTCTCTGAGGTGCAACCAGTGCTGCAGGCCCTGCCATCAGGTCAGAGACGCTCTCCAACTACCTGACTGAAAGCAAGCAGCCTGAGCAATGGTTTTTATGACTCCCTACCACAGAGTGGCCTGCTGAGGCACCTGCCTTTTGGCATTTGCCTTCTGCGGTTCTGCTGATGGAATACCACACTGGGGATGGATGCAAGTCCTGCAGATTAAATCATTTCTACTCTATCTAGCAGATTACTCTATGTCAATGACACTACTTCTGCATATTGAACTACAGGGCCAGCTACCTAAATATACTCACAAGCAGCCTATAAGCAAACACTTAGGAGGGCGCAGAAAAGCAAATCTCAGGCTCAGGAAAAAAGACGAAGCATAACATTTGGAAGTATTTTTTTTTAGTACTAGTCTGTGGTAAAAGGAACAGAATCTTCCCCGAGCACCACCTAGGAACACATAAGGACATGGGCATTTTCAGGAATATTTAATAACAAGAACAGTGAATTCTTCAGCTGTATCTTCTGCAAAATGACACCAAGACATGGTTGGAGCAGTCTCCCAAGTAGCTCTGAAGTTGTCAGTCCAATAGAAAAAAAATAAAGTGGGACTGACACATCTCTTGATTTTAGGGCTATTCTACTACAGTGCATAAATATCACTGCTTCCATTCATTCCACTAAGGCAGTAATTTTACGTTCCCAGATTCAGGAACAGTCTGGGGTTTTTTTTTTTTTTTTTCCCCTACCCTACTCGAAATTTCTAAAGCCGTTTGACTTTTCCATTCTGCTAAAAACACAGTCCCACAACAGGGGATCTATTTAGGTCTATCACTCATGATGAGAAAACCACTTGAGCCTCAGGCTACATGTTCTCTTCTTCATCAGCTGAAAATACTGCTCTTAGTATCAATTACATCGGGGGCGGGTGCATGTGCATAAGATTCACGTTTACATGGTTAATCCCTCTTACAGAGCATTCTGTAAGACTGTAAAACTGTAGTTTCTAGAATCCATTCAAAATTCTTAGCATTTCTGATTATTTAAGGAAATTAATATACCTGTGTTTTTTCTTCATATTTTGGGATTACATTTTCAGCTTGACAGATTCAGCTGTTACCATTCGCATGTAAGTTCAGGATCGTGACAAAACATGGACTTAATTCACCTTTAAAACTTTTGCATGAGCCTCACGAGAACTTCTAATACCAAAGAATACATAAAACGTTGTAGAGAGTTTGCTTTGCATGTTTATTTATTTAGAGTTTTAATATTTTCTCAGAGATAAACATAGCAGAACAGTACTTCTTAAAAGCAACTCTAACATACGCCACTATGTTACAAAACTACTTCTGAATATCCTGCACATTTTCTGATCTAGAAACATATCAAAATTTGGAGAAATTCCTAAGATTCAGAAGAAACTTCAAATATTCTACATATTGTTATTCCTTGAAAAACAGTCGATATTACTGTTATTCCTATCAGAATATATTACATTCATCTAGCTTACTTAAGAATAAAAACATAATTTGAATTACACTGTTTTTCTGTTTGTTTTTAACTACAGAAATGCTCTTTCCTGAATTCTACCACACTGGATTCACCAACCATTCAGAGTCTTCACACACTGAGCTGTAGAATTTCACGATGCAAGATCTACTAGATACTAAAAAGAAACCAAAAAGTTCCAAAGGTAACCAGATAAATGTAATGATTTTTTTTTTTTTCAAGGCAAAACCCAAAATATTACATCTTGTTCAGGAATTCCCTGAACTGGAAGAGGACCAAGGTCAAGACATTATCCTGGAAAGTTCCACAGTATATTCCTACCATTTCTGGTAATTTTGGTTATTTTGACCGTTGGTCATTCTGGTACTAAATGCAGAATTAAGGATCTTCAGATGTCTGTCTGCATCAAAATAATAATGGGCTGTAAAATACTGTGCAGACAAAGAAGACTTCAAACAACATTTCCATGGCAATGGTTAAGGGTTTCAGTAGAGAACACAGGTACCTCTACAGCCCTCAGGACCACAGGATAGCAGAATTGCTCTTAGTTTGGTAAGCGTGAGATTGGACATTGTACAAAGCTAAGGTACCTTTTTTAATTAGCTCAAAGTTTAACTTCGGTCTAATCAATATAAAATAATAAATTTGTTGCTTAGGCATTATCTCAGGTGATAGACATATCACTAATAACTTGTCTCACTTCAAGGAGAGATCAAAAGACAAAAAAGACAAATCATGCATCTTCTTACTCTGACCTGAATATTGAGGGACTGTGGCCACTTTAATACCGGCAAGACCACAACATTAGTCAAGTAATGAAAGGGCCACCAAATTCTTAATCCTTGAGATGACACCAGACTTCTGGCTTCAGTTTAGTTACATGAGAACTGGAAAGAGCTCAATTTTCATATTTGCAATTGCAAACATTAAATACCCTCTCTCATCTTTGATTTACTGCAGCCCTTCTGAAAAAAAAAAAAAAAAAAAAAAAGGTATTTCAAGAATCTTTGTCAATACACACTCTCCTAATTTTCAATGTCTACCTTTAGAGGATTTTCTAGTTGGGAACAGGGTGTACAAGAAGGAATGCAATACTTCAGAAAAGCTACCACTGAAGGTCTTCAGTAGTAAAGATGAGTTTTGGAAAATACCTGCCTCGAGAGGACTACACAAAACCTTCAGGAATATCCATACTTTTCTTCTTACCTCCTGATAAAGGTCACTGAGATCCTCATGATGAGCTTGCTTCGAACATCCTGGGAACTCCCGGACACAACAGGAGTCAGGAGGCCAATCCATCTCTGTCATTTCCAGCCAGTCTGTGAAGTATACCACCCCACAACATTTAAACTGCAAAGGAAGGATTAGCCAGGATCAACAATAATGCCATTTCTTCATAAGAGAAGGACAAAAATGGAACACATTTCCAATAAAAACTTCCAGAATATTCAAACAGGACCAAAACCACCCATAAGAACTTCCACACATTCTTCTGCTGGGCCTGGACATAAGAAGTGACTGAAGAAAAAACTGAAGAAATAAGGAATATAGGGTCCACATAGGTACACATCAGAAGTCAACAATACGATCCTATCCTTTGGATCTCTACTGTTCCCTTATACAACGCTTCACAGAAATTGTCCTAACCCGTAATTCTGCATCATTATTTCAATGGACTAATGCATGCTAATCTAATGTGAAAAGACAATAATGAAAAGCTACACATTTCACTACAGAAACTGTCAAGAGAAAATTAAGGTCTTAGTAAGGAGTATTCCTGCAAGGCTGCAATAGACTATGAACAAATGTATTAGAGAGAAATAAATGAGAACAAGAATACAGCAGAGAAGCAGGGAGACGAAAGGAAGGGGAAAAAAAAGTGAGCAAAAAAGAACAGAAACCATAAATCCTGAGGGGGAAAAAAACAAAAGGAAGCTGGAAGAAAAACAGAATATCACAGTAAAATAAATGTTACAACATAGTCAATCATAAATATAGGATTGCACTGGCTGCAAAGCAGATGAGCCATAATTGGCTATAAAACCCACCAAGAGAAACAACCTGTCTTCATTCCTGAAAAGCACACCACGAGATTTAAAGCCAAATGACCACCCTCTCATACGCCTGGCTGCATCTACATCAGAGTGAGCTCAAGCAGCGACATGCTGCTGGGGATGGGGAGGCAATATGTCTGAAAAACTGGTCTTGCTGCAGGAAGAAAGCAGTGCTGCCTCTCCAAACATCTACTGGTATCAGCCTCAGGATTCATAATTCATCCCCTGGTTCCTTTGACCTGTGCACTCACAAAGTGCCTCACCTGCCCGCTTCACAGCCATGGTCTAACATATCAGTGATCAAATACCAGGTCTGCACACATCGTGTCTCTCACTGTCAGTTCTTTTACAAATCTCACTTCTTCCTTTTTTAAATTTTTGCCACAGGTCAAATGTATCAATGTTTTTTTTTTTTGGTAAAGGTAAAGATAAAGATAACCTCATTAAAGGCCTTCTTTTTATTTTTTTTAATTACTTTTTTTTTCATTTTTTTCCTTCATGATTTCAATTAGTGCTTCCTACCTTTACTTACATAGCCATAATTCTTATATTGGACAAGCAGGAGTGTGCATGTGTGTGGGAGGGGGAGGTGGGTTGCAAGTGACAGACAATTTCAGCTAGGCTAGACATTAAAAATACATACCAGGATCACAGGTCCAGTATTTGAGTTGTAAGTAGACAAAATAAAAATAACAAGGTCTGGTAAAACAGCCTGTCCAATTAACTTTATACTTTCCTAAAAGTCATTCCTCTGATCATCATTGGAACATAAGAAATTCCACTTATGCAAACACTCTCCCCCACTTTCTCCTAAAAGGGATAGGCAGTGGTTTCTTTGGCCAGGAAGTTGAACCTTTGTTATCAATACGCCAGACCTGTCTTAGGAGTAGTGTCTCAATCTTATTTATCAAGCCATTAATATGTCATTACAATAACCAGAAGCACAAAAGACAGGCTTTTGTTTAATCAACCTATATTTAAACCAATATTTAAACCAATATTTAAACCAAGATACAATAGCTCTAGCCAAGGAAATTGAGACCACTTGATTATATTACCTCAGCTACAGAACAGACACATCCATCCAAATATGAAGGATTACTGTGTTTCACATGGCACTTGAAGAGTCAGGGGAGAATAAAAGATTTCAGCTCATGAGGTCCTCACTCTTTCTTTCAAGGCTTTAATATAAATACAGACTAACCAAATGTCGCCAGGAAATGTTTAAATAAACAGGAAATCTGTGTAACAATGACAGTGTTCAACATTTCAACAAGCACAGCACAATGACAGGCATTTAGAGAGTTCTTTTCCTGCACATGAGTTATATTTGGAGTTAATGGGTTTTACCTTGGGCAATTTCATGTTTTTGTAACATAGTACTTCATTCTTTAAAAACAGTTCTGAATTTCAGTAGGCCGCAGGGCAAAGCTGTGAACACACAAGTCAGCTTTTTGGTTTATTCTTTTCCCTGGTCAGAGGAAATAACATTCCCTGATCACTTTCTGAAACCACAGCCAAAAGTCTGTTTTGGCCTCTTCTTTTAAGTTTCCTTTCCCCTTCACTTGGGGGTGGCACCATATCTTAGATATGACAGCTCTGCTATAGGAAACTAACAAAGCACACAGGAATGAGAGCACAGCTTAATACTAAAATAGAGTACAAAAATGTTCATTTTATTTTACTCACAGATTTTTAATTCTATACATGACATTCCTAATGTAATAATATAGGGTGTCGGTGTCCTACCATCGCTGGCAAAGGAAAATAAAATACTAATAATGTAATTGCCTTTTATTTATTTGGGGAATAACAGGCATTTTGTCTCTTGAACTAAACTTCTAGATACTTCAATAATACTAAAAATCATATGTCTATTTGACTACACATAAATCAGCTATTTAGGCTGTCGTGACCAAATACTACTTCACTTCCAACAACTGTATGTTCAGCATGTATTTTCTGAGGTGCAAGTCTTTAAGCGACATTATTAAAAAAAAGATTGGAGAGGAACATTGATGCACATGCACTTATTAGCATTAGATAAAGCTAAAGCATGTTCTAGGAATAATAAATGTAAGCTTTAGGAAAAGGAGAGACCCTTCAGAGTCATAAAGATGTATAGAATTTTTAGATCTCTGAAGAGATGGTTATCAAGCAGTCTAAAAGATATCACCACTACATAGTCTTTCATTAAACTTGCATTTCTTTGTCATTAAAAAAAAAAATTTCCCTTAACAGATAAACACCGTTTACTGAAGAGGCACTAGTTCTCAAACTAGCTGTCTTCTTACCTCCTTCTGAAAGAAATTCCAAGCATGGGTGAGCCACTGGTATCTAGGTAGGCCATAATTGGTCATCCGGGCTTTTAGAGTGATCATATCAGACCACTGCACAGGAACCTGAAACAAAGAATGAAGAGCAATTCAAACAGCAGAACTCTTCAGTTGATAAACACACTGATTGGCTTGTGGTTCCAAAGCCATAATTTTTACCTATTCAGAGATCTATTACAGCGCCATGACTAAAATAACTTCATACTCAAGTATAGAAAATAAGTGCTTTTGTTCCTAAAACTTAATGAATGCTTATTTGAACAGCAGGAAAAATTTATCAGACTTGCTTACAGATAAATATACACCTGGTAAAGGGCTGTTCTGTTCTTCAAAGATTCAGAGATTTTGGAATAAAACTTGATTCATTAGTAAACTTGTTCCAGCATGTAACATATACTCTAGAATGGGAAAGTCCCATCCGGATGAGCAGGGATGGAATTCATCTGTACCAGTTTAGAAATATGGCTTGTAGCTAAGCCGAAGATAATCACACTGCCTCTTAGTCAAACAAACAAAAATAGAGCATATAAATAATTCCCTTTAAGTCTCAAATCTATTTCTTTGCCTAAGGTTACAAACTAAAATTTAAATATCTCACTTTTAAATATACAAAATTGAGATGAATTCCACTAGGAAGAGCCTCTTCACTGACCTGAAAGCTTTGCCTGTCTAGCATGCAGGTAACCTGAGTGTATCCCATTTCAGTCTCTAGTCTCTCTCTCCATAACAGTGGGAAGACGTGGTATTCAGTGAGCCTAACGCCTGTGAACTTGTTCTCTGCATACAGTCACTTATAGCCTTGTAAGTCTCTTCCTCTCCTCACCCCCCCCCCCCCAAAAAAAAAAAGGAATATTAAAGTATTTCTTTCTAAATATGTTTATTCTGGAATAAGGAGCTGGCGCTCTCTTTTGTCAGAACTACGATCCTCAATTAGGATTGTGTTAAAAATAATGTAAGCAGGGGCTGTGGCATTGCACATGTCACGCAGTTAAGAGTAAAAATAAGAAATTGGCTTCTGTTCCAGCAGTGCAACTTTCAGTCTGACAAACTAAAGCAAAGAGTTAAGTAGTTACCCTTCTAGGCACACACACTATTCCTGATGAATTCTGCCTCGTACTCATTAGCTTTTGGTAGTCATGGTGAAAGAAATCACTATTGCAATATCAGCTTTCATTTGGAGGCTGGGGGGAGTCAAGTTACGCTAACAACTAGAGCTTGGCTATCCGATTCAATCTGGAACTAACAGTAACAACATTCTGCGTATGCAATAAATGTAACTTAAGTAAACAAATTATCACAATAATTGCCAAGGAGCTTGGTCCTTGTTGTGCTAGATGCTCTACAAAAACACAGGAACAACGCCTGCCTGAACGACCTCTCAAACCAAGAAAGAACATTTAATAATATTTCACTCCTGCTGGGTAAGTTATACTGCAATTTTCATCTACTGGTAAAACCTCATATATCACATTAATTACAACTGAGAAATTTAACACAGCTCCTACATAGCAGAACTTCTATATCCTATGCTTTATGGCTTTGAACTTACAATTGTCCACATGAAAAATATATGTTAATAGCACAGTACTAAAAATATTTAAGAAAACAGTATCATAGACTATTCTTACTTCAAACATTTACATTAATCACTGTGATAAAATAATTTGCTTTTGTACTCAGCACACTTCTCTTTACACTGTGTTGAAAGCTAGCACTTTGCTTTCTTTGGATAATATTAGATATCACTGCACTTCAGCTCATATTTGCTATACTTCTTTTTTTATTATCTTATTTGAGTTGAATAAAGGCCAAGGTTATGCACATAACACAAGGCATCCAACTTTTCTATGAAAACAATGAAAGCAGAAAAAAAAAGTGAGAGAAGGAAATTAAAAGCACAGTAAGGCAAATTAAATCCACTGTGAAAAGACGATTTGAATTCTGGAGCTAAGAAGGGATGTTAGTATCTGTATCTTTGTCTACTACGAAAGCATCAAGGTGTCAAGCTGAAAACTTCAGATCACCTACTAAGTAACCTCCTGTCAACCCACACGTGTATTATTGTGCACTAATACATGATCTTGAAATGCACTTGAGCTAGTGCACTTGAGCTCAACACTTGAGGTGTTGGCTATAAGTCAACACCTTCACATAGACATACAAACTAGAGATATTGGCTTGATGATTAATACATAAATTCTGCAAAGTTGTGTCTGCTGTTCAGACCTGCTTCTATTAATTCATTACTCCTTTTCCAGTAAGTATTTGACCAGTATTCAAGTAAGCTGAAAATCCACAGTGGCTTTTCAGTCCAGCGGGTGGGATGGCTTAGTCACGAGGCACACTCTTCATACCGAGAGCTATCAAGAGCTGGAAGGGAAATTGTTTATACAGGGACTCTTACAGCGGACTTGTCCACACGCCAAAGAGAGCTCATGTTGGACTAGCAGAGGTGGTTTTGCCACGGTGACATTTTTGACAGTATCACACACCCACATACACTAATGCTAACAGATTCCCTGAAGTCTGCAAGGGGTTCCTGTGATTTCCTGCTGCACTGAAACCAACATGACAGCAAGTCACCCTGAGGTATTTAAGGGAGTCTTCTTAACTCTAGCTGGTAGGGTAGGATATAGCTCTTTGGAAGTGATTTCTGCTCTTCCAGACTGACACATTTCCTACAGGTCTCAAAACAGTCCAGTAAACAGCAAACCTTAGCAACAGGAAAGCTCAGATTAGCACATATCACTACCCGAGGATCGTTAGTGTTATGCAGATGAATAAAAAGGAAATTAGATGGAAAAAGAAAACATGATAAAGGTTCGGGATATCACGGGATGAGGCACAGAAATAAAAAGTGTAAGAGAAATGAAAAGAAAAACAAAAAGAGAAACAACATTCCAAACAGTTATTTTGCTGTTCTGTTTGCACTCTCATGTTCATACCCTTGAATTCCTGGAATGTAGCGGAAGAACTGGAGGCGCCTGGAATACCTGGGTTGACTGTCACCCACTTCATGGACAGCACAGACAACATATCTTATTGTGGGACAGGGGAGCAGGGTCAGCTGTGCTTCATCCCCCTGAGCTGCTCCGTTTTTATCTCCGAGGAGAGCAATGCGACCAATACCTAACCAACATACAGTAAGGCTCTCCTGGCTTTATCAGCCTAGCTCTGGGTTTCAGTAGCATAGGAGGTAAATGAAAGCTTGAATCATACTAGATCATACCGTAACTTCAGGTTTTCTAATTGAGTGGTCAAGTCTGGAGAAAGCATAAACCAGTGCACTGTGGCTTATGTTATATCATGCAGTTTCCACTGACAGGAATTTTGTGGAATGATGGATGTTAGTGAATTAACTGTTATTTCTGGCAAAACCCTTGCAGAGTGGTGCCCATGGATGAAGAATGCCTCTAGTCTGCATTGCCAATTTTAAAATGCACCAGTGTAGCTAACATTTAAAGTAAAAAGATAGCCTTAATTATTGTTTTATTAAAACACTCTTCCAGAATCTGTATAGCAAGGAAATCAGTTCTAATAAAAAATGCTGCTAAATTTCCTCAATCTGTCAGAAATTCCTATAGTCTCAGTACAATGCAAATATCAAGAAGGCTCCCTCCCATCCTACTGCAATGTAATTGCTACACATTGGCTGCTGTTTAAAAGAACATTATACTAGGCATGTGTTGGCAAGTAGGAGAAAATATCTACCCCTCTCTTCATAAATATGTGCCAAGCTGAAAAAAAACAGAAGGACATAGCATCCAGTTTCTGTTCAACACTTACCGGTTTTCTTTTATGACAGCTACAAGTCTTCAGCTTGAAAATTAAAGGTTGGTTCACTTATAAAAGCTAGAGATAAAACCTTTTCACAGGTTTACAAAAAAGTGTTCTATAACTAAGGCACATTTTGCATAAAGCCAGCACTTAAGGTTTGTGGAGACAGTGTGAAGATTTCAGCAGACAGCAAGACATCTACCAAAAGAACCCACTGTCTGTTTGCAAAACTGTAGGGTGAGTTACAGCTCTTTGAAAACATGAAAAACTTCCAGAACAAAATCCTTCATCTTCTCACATCACAAAACACAGATCTTAAACTTGTACTTCTTTCTTAATCAAACTGGCACTGACTTCAGCAAGAATCTGCCTAAGCAAGAATTAGCTAAAAGTAAAGCCTTTAAATGAATCAGGATCTGCAGGATTTGACTTTCAAGTATAATGGGGATGGAGAAAAACCTAGAGAGGACCTTTCAGATATACACACTCACAGAAAATAATCTCTGTTTAAAAAAAGACAATCACATAAGTTAGGCTATCAGAATAAAGCAATTAGAAAACTGTTAGCTGATGGAAATCTTTGTGTTCTTCTGCTGAAAAAATGCAGCCTCCTTTTCTGACTCACCGTTATTTCCTGCTCATAGGTCCAAACACCACAGGCCAGTTCAACACAGAATATTACAAGCAAGCTTCCAAAGTACTGCAGAAAACAGAACGGCCTTAGTTATTTTTGATGTTCAAGTTAATTTGGGGGGGGGGAGGGGGAAGACAAAAATTGAAGCACATCTCAAAATATTATTAACAGACCATAAATATTCTAAATAATTTAAAACATGGATGAAGACATGGAATCTGAGATTTATTTTGTAACCAAAATATTAAAGATTCATGAAACAAACTTTCCAAAAGCTTAAAGCATGTGACAAAGAACATTGTGACATTCCTTACTGACTTAACATGAAGCATATGAAACATTACCACGGGGAATACAAGTTAATTGTCTTGTTGCTAACAAAACAGGGTTAGCATGTCATATTACATGAAAACAGTCCTAAAGAGGTTAAAAAAATCTCATATACGTGGAAAAAAAGATTTGGTTTTGAGTTCTAATCCTTTAAGTAATGTATGTTACTGATCAGAAGAGGCAGGGAGAAAAAAAAAGAAAATAACAACAAAGAAATTAAAAAAAAAAAAGGAAACATCTGCCTTCCCCTCCCCCCCCCCCAAAAAAAAACCACGAAGATAGACAAGACAAAAATAATAGTAATTAAAGAACAAAAAAAACACAAGGTCCTTGAAAGCTATGTTCTTTCAGAGTGATTTAAGTAGTTAAGGTCAGGTACAAACACTTACTGAGACAGACTAAAATAACGTTGCCTAGAACAATATCTAACCTTTAAATTATTTGAAAATAGAAAGCATTTGCATAAATAAAAAGCTGGTGCTGGTAGTGAATGTTCAGAAAAGCTAGATGCTGTGATTAGGAAGAGAGGAACTAATCTCCATGAAACAATAATAAACTATTTTTGAATTGCAAGCCAAAGCAGCTTGGAAATTAAGACTGCTTTAACTGTTGTCATTCAACTGGAGTCACTTACTGGGGTTTTTATTTAAGGCAAAAGCCCAATTCCTTTCATTCTTGACTGCAAACTTTCTTGTATATCAATGGACTGATCTCCCCTTTTCCTTCAGTGGACAAGGCTATAACTCACAATCTTACTCAAGTAAGAGTGTAACTACAATACTTACTCAAGTAAACACCAGCACAGTATAAAGCAGAAAAAAACAAATACCTAATTTCCTTATGAAAATATGCTCCAAAAGGCTGCAAATGTAGTTATCTGATTCTGGAATGCATTTAGGAAGGGTATAAAGCCCAGAAACATGTAAGCAGAATAAATGAAATATTTTTTGCTATTAAAGGACAATAAACTGTAATAGTTACAATAGAGAATATAGACACATAAGCGTTATGACTTAAGGCTCACCTATATGGCATAATCTTCATTCAAGGAACCTGGAACTGTTTGGTTTACAGCAACACTGCAGTTAATGAACAGTGTCTTGTATTTACTACTACTACTACTTGCAGATCAAATCCACCTCCCTGAACTGTAATTGTAGATGCAAATTAAAAATAAGCATGTGAAGCACTTTTGTGTGAATTTTCAAGAGAAATTTGGACTTGTTTCCTCTCTCACTGTAGATCTGTTTTCAAAGAAAGTGTTGAAAAAAGTCTATTTTAGCAGCCTCCATCATATCACATTGCATTTTCAGTCATTAAAACTCGACAAAATATCTCCTAGCCTTACAAACCAACTCTATAGGCTCATATAGAGCTCCAACAGAGGTCTTCAACAACCAGCACGTTGTTTGTCTTCCATGCCAGTTTGTCTTCCAAAGGCTCACAAAGAGCCAAAAACTTGAGTTATACCTTGTAAAATAATGATGTTTTGTTTTTCGAACAAAATAAACCCACAAGCTTCTAGATAATAAACCCACTATTAACTGTGGTGACCTTCATTTATTCAAATAGTTCTTTATAAAAACTGTGGAAAAAACTAACAAAAAGCCACAAATCTACTTCACAAAGTCTTCTCTTAGAAATGAGAAAAAAAAGATCACCTGCTTTATCTCTTTTAATTGATATGAAAAAGTGTTTAAGGATACAATGGGTAATACTAACATTTTTGAGAATAACAGCAACTAGATGTTTATATGAAGGGTAACTGAGTTCTCAGCTATGAAAAGAGATTTCAGGAATTTTATACTGTGATTGAACAGGAAGTCTGGGACAGTCTGATATTCCCAAACGTTATACAAAACTCACCGTGATATATATGGGGTGTATATATATATATATATACACACACATACACACACACACACATACACATATATATATGTACATATATATGTACATATATGTGTATATATATATATATATACAGGTGGTACCCTCCAAAAAACTCCTACAGTTCCTTTTAACTTTTCATTGGTTCACGAACCTTTATTTTTGACACTTTCTTTGATTGTATATAGTTACAAAAGTTTCTGCTAGTGGTTGCAGACACATGAGCCAAACACATGATTTTTCTGCATAGAGTCTGACATGAACATTGTCGAGCCAGATTCACTCAAGAAACATTTTTGAGTTTGAGCAGTTCCAGCTCTAGCTTCCTCTGGACACAGTAGAAGACTGCAGAATCAAGGCTTATGATCACCTTGGAAAATAAAACCAAAACATATTCTGGAAAAAATATGTTTTGGAAAAAAATTATGCATATGAAATTATATTTTAGGAATTGAGCAATTGCAGTCACACAAAACTCTTTTTTGGATGAGCTTCAGTTTCACTCTGCCATTAAACAGGAATGTATAATTATTTCTGTTTCCAAAACAAATACGTTTTATAGAAATCGTGTGAAAAAAAAATGAAGTCATTATTTAAATTTATTATCCCTAACTTCCATCTTGAAAACATAGAAATTTTTATTGGCTTCATCGACAATAACGGTCTCGACATAAATTCCCCAAAGAGTCTGATTGCTAAATGCATCTTCCTGTATTTGCAAACCTCTCCTTTTTGCCAGATACAGTGATATGAAGTAAGGTTTATTATTGCTGCGTTCCTCCTCTGGCTCCTCGGTGGCTGCATTCTGAAAAGCAGAATAACTGAATGCCATGGCGCTGCACCACAGCGCTCTTGGCCTTCAGCGGGGTATTTTCTCCTTTTTTGGGGGGGAGTCATGGAAATGCGGGGCAGAGAAGAGAGAGGAGAAGCTAAATGGTTAAAATTATAGCAGAAGCACTCTCTGGAGTGGAATGAATCAAAGTAAAAAACGTTCATTAGTTAAGAAAAACACAGCAGACACTTTCTGCTCCTCTTTGAGCCATGAACACACAAGCAGTAAGATGCTGGCCTGCAGCCTCTGTTCAGTGTGAAATGACTAGTTTCAATAAGCAGGACTAATCCTTGCAGTTGAAGGAGTATATCTACATGCAAGGAAAGAATGAAGCAGCACCTATAGATGCAATGGATGCGAACAGCCTCTCAGCTCCGTCCCCACAATAATAAAAGGGCAGCACCAACGGCCTGCAGGAGCCTGAAGAACTGCATTTTTCCAGCACATCAGCCCAGATATGCAGGTGAAGGAATGAAGAAGTCTAGAGTTCAGAAGAGTCTTGTTGAGTTTACTTCACTTGAGTTTACTTCAAGTGAAAAAACAGAAAAGAATTGGGAACAGAAACAAAAGTCTTAAGTGAGGAAATAACCCACAAAAAAAAAAAAAAGATGGGGAAACACAGGAGGACAAATCAAGGAAAAGCAAAGAAATCAGGTCTGTTCCTGGAATAATTACTCATGCTCGTGCTGCTGGTGCAGTCTTCACGTAGCACAGGTGTAAATGTGACCATTGCCTGTATCCTCATTTCCTGATTGAAAACTTCTGATGAAGAAAACAGACACACACACACCCCAAAAGTAAGGAAAACCACTACAGTGAATTCTCAGTCATCGCAGAGTCCATAGGAGATCATAATCAGCTACCACAAGTTTTACAGCCTCCAGAGACACTCCTCTTGCAAAAGCCAGAATCAGAGAGCCATAACCAACCATTGTAAGGATCTTACATACAATAAAACTGAAAAGGACAGAACAAGGGTCCTGGAAAATATGAAATGAGAGCCAGTGATGAAACTCAGCCACAGAGGAGAAGAAATAATCCTCAAGTAATAATCAAGGACAGAAATAGGAAACAAAAAAAAAAAAAAAATCTACTAGCATTTTAATTACAAGTTGCGTGCTAGTTCAGGTGGTTGTAAGGATGGTTGTAAGGATCCCTATCTGCACAGTAGATAACAGAACCTGACAATGCACCAGAAAGATGCATAATATTTGAAAACACACATAAAAGCACCATCAGAATAAATGAAAATTATAAATTATATTAAAAAGATCTGTGTTGGCTGGCTAAATAGGACCAGCAGTTTTGGTTTGAATAAAATGCCTGCACTTATCAGTCACATCACTTAACAGGGTACAAGTTCTGCACAGGTCAGTGCTGACATTGCAGCTCCAGTTCCCATAATTCTGTTTGTAAATAAGTGCTCATTAAAAAGACTCCTGTATGCCCAAAACATCACCCCCTTTATCCACGCAAGGCTAAAAAATAAAATGCAAAATGTATTTTTTTCTTCATTGTGGCATGTTTTTTGCTATTCTATTTATTCTACAAAGCTAAATGAATGACCAACACCACAGAATGCATAATAGGAACACATTTCTTTCCTGCTCACACAGTCATTTACATACAAACATAAAAACAACACAAAATCATAGTCATCATATCTCATATACTTTGTACTAGCTTAAAAAGGGTTTGTTCCAACAATTTTCATTCTGCTCAGAGAGCAACGCTAAATGGGACACGTGAAGTACCCTTCAACATAAAATCTCTCTCATGGCTTTCTACCCTGCCGAGTACAGGATTTTTACTTCAATTGTGTGCAACCACAGAACAGGATATAAAGCATAAAGCATGATGTTTTATGCAGAGATGTAACACAAGACTCTTGCTGTAATTCGACATTTTTTTTCTGTTTGTCTTGAATATACCACACAATGCCTGCAATAAATCACTTAATATTGTGATTTGTCTATGCTTTTCAGGCAGCAACTGGAAAGAACTGGTGAGAAAT